GAGTAGTGTTGCTTTTTCAGTAAAGAGGTCAGAAATTCAAAAAGTCACGGACTTATTGACCCGCCCTCGTATTACACTCCTATCATTAATTTCTTGAAACTTTTCTCTGAGTGACCGCCTCTTCTGTAAGTAGTACAATATATATATTATATTATATATATATTTATATATATATATATTTATATATATATATATATATATATATATATATAAGCTTCATGAAATTCTTCTTAGGCGTCAAATATATTGGCCATAAGCTTAACACCAGCATCGGTTGTCGAGCGACACCTACTAAACCCAAACTGCTTATTGTGCATTACCACGTCATGTCATTTCGGTTTTCATAGACTTAGGGATTTCATTTGTAAGTGCCATATTTTTTGCCGGATATCGCTTTTATTAGTTATTCATAAAAATGACACCGGAGTAATTCTGCACAAAGACGAAGGAATATGTAGCATAGTTGTGTAAGTATTTGTATGTATGTGATGTTATTGTTATTTTATTTATTTTTTATTTTATTTATTTATATAGGACAACTTACAAAACATACACTTATACACAATTTACAAACATGTTTTACAAATATTTCTGAGTGTTGTCTTACTTACAAGTTGCCACGGCATGGTAAGGGACAGTTGCATCTAAGATTACAATGCAATATCTATAATAATACACAAAACATACAGAACGTCATCGAAATTAATTAAAGACAGTGATGATCTAAGAAGGTCCAAATGACGCAATAACTTTACTTTTAAATTTTGGAAGACTGTTTGAGAAGATGTCAAGATCAGATTGTATACTCTATATTCCATATTATAGAATTATATTCCTGTTGCCTGTTTCGTCTTGAAAAGACGAAACAGGCTTAACTCACACATCTTTTCCGTAAAACCATGGCATTATGAAGCAATTTTTATTTTATCGCAAGATGCACAATTCTTAATGACCTAATTTAAATCTTTGAAATAAAGCAAAGAAGCAATTTGTACACAATGGATGTTTTTTTTTTCAAACTTCGTTTCAAAGTGACGTAGTCAGGTCCTTTACCTTAGTGTTGTGGCTCTTCAAATTCACTTGAATACGAATATAAAATGTACGAAAAATTGAATTTATTATTAACGAGTCCTTTTGCAATCCCGGCGTCTCAGTGTTTAATACTCGTAATACTTAAAATTCATCTGACATCTATTTGTCAACGAAAACGCATGAGTAGAATTAAAAGTATGTAAGTTATTGTATTTTAAAATAAATCTTTGTAGGCAAAATCACTCGTGTCCAAGTCTGGTATATACTAAGATTTAATAGTAAAACCTATAATATGCTATTACACGGGCTTTTATAGTAACATACATAAATCAGTAAAACTGTAATCGATTAGTAGATATTAAGAAATGAAATCGATATCTCATAAGAATCGGATATTGTAATATCGATTTCTTTGACCCCATCGCTAAACTTCAATCTGTCCCAACTGTCAAACGGTACCTCTTAGATTAGAGGGACTATAAGCAGAGCTTGTACTATGAAAGCTAGATTGACTAATATTACATACAATATGACATAGAAAGCATGCAAATATAAGAAAAAATGTTATATTTTATGATAGTTTTCATGTTTCTTTTTGTTATTTATGCTAGTTTCTTGTACCGATACGTTTAGTTCCAAAATCCATAAATTATTCTTTTAAATATTTTTTAGAATTGTATGTATAGTACTTAAATACCTCTGTTTTATTTGAATAAAAATAATAAAGTTTGTACTATTAAAATTTGGATCAATAACATTCTTCATAACGATGTTCTTATCTTACACTGAACCGTTTCAGATGTAAAAATAAATAAAAATATTTTGATGATTTAAAATAAAATAGCAGCGATAACCGTTATATAGAGTACTAGCTGCCAGGCCTGGCTTCGCACGGTTAGTGTACCCATTACAGCGATTAATTTTTATTTAAATGTATAGAAAGATAGATTAGGTAGGCACAATACAGGCATAATTCGTGTGTGTGAAACCATCTAAATACACATTAGTTTCGTAGTTGACATACCGACAGCAGCGCTACCTCCTACCGGGCCCAATTGTATTTTTAAATCATCGAAATAACCATATAAAATTTCAACCCAATCGGTTCAGCAGTTTAGAAGTTATGTGAAAAGATAAGTTCGAAAGGATAATTCTTACTACCCGTTGTCGTATTAACAGTTTTCCCGTAGGAATGAAATATTTTCCCGCGGTAAAAAGTAGCTTATGTTCATCAGGGATAATGTCGGTTTCTAATGGTAAAATAATTTTTCAAATCGGTCCAGTAGTTTCGGAGCCTATTCAATACAGACAAACAATCAAATCTTTCCTCTTTATACTATTAGTGTAGATGTAGATGATAACAAATCAAATTATTATAGTACTATAACCATCTGTGATTATATTACGGTTTTCCTTGCCGTTTAAGAGATAATTAGATTTTCATACTAGCTTCATACAATTTTTTTTTATGTAGTGTAATAACTTTTAAACTTTTAAAAATTAATACAAGTGATATCCGGCAAAAAAATATAAATTTAACAAAAATTGCAAATTGAAAGTCCCCAAGTCTATGAAAGCCGATTTTCAGCCCACCGTGCTCTGCTAGATTTGCGTTTAATGAAACGTCCTCAAATGCCACAGAATTTTTAGGGTGTAGGTGGCAAATGCCTATGGAAACTGAGCTTCTTTTTCAGACTCTTTTTCAATGCATTTGTCATGCTTTTTAGTTTGTATTGTTGGTTTGACATCTTTTTAATTTGTATTGTTGGTTTGATATTTTTTATTTATGGTATTGTAATAGTTGTGTAGATTGTAGTGTGTGCATGCAGTAATTCAGTAATTTTCCATTTAATGTCTTTATTGTTATGGTCTACAATTTATGAAGAATTTCAGACACAATGTAAATTGTTTTGTGTGTAGTGGAAATAAAAAAAAACTATTAATTCCCAGCAAACTTCGTAAAAAATAAATTTATTCACCCTTCCAATTCCTATCTTATTTATTAAAATTTATTTATTTTTAACATTATTAAAACATTCATATCCGATATAAAAAGGAATACCAATATTTTCTTATATTTTAATAGAAAAAATATACAACTTGGTGTAATACCAACATCCTTTAAACTCCTAACATTTTTTCTCCTTATAAGGAACTTTTTTCTTCTAATACTTACCTGATTTCATGAACCTATTACAATACCCGATTAAAACTGACTTGCAGAATGTGATAGTAACACAACAACACAATAGAAACAGCTTAGTGCCAATCTTCACTAAAAATGTTACACAGTACACAGAATTTACAGTTTTTTTTCTTTTTTAAAAGACAACTCCCACATTAGGAATATATTAATATTCTGTGTAGCGGAGGACTTTACAATCATACATGAAACGGACACAAAGAACACACACACACATTAAAACAATCTGTTGATCACACAAAGTGTTGCCCATGTGGGGATACTTATTTAGGTTCTATGTGCTATGGTGCACCTGTATGGGCCGATAGGGCGACCGTAGGCGCTGTCCGTCGCAAACTGTTACAAGGCCAACGACTTGCACTGATATTTTTGTGCAAGGCATATAGGACGGTTAGCACTGAGGCTTTGCCGGTGTGGGCGGGTGTGCTTCCGGTCGATCTCGAGTTGCAGAGACGTGCAGCCATGTACTATTCAAGACAACAAAACATGGAATGCGATTTTTTGGGGCGCGGGATTGCGGTAAAATTACAAGATTGCTTCAACAGCAGTCCGATGTCTATAATGACCTCATAGACGAATGGCAACAACGCTGGGACGAATCATCCAAGGGGCGCCATTTACCAATTCTTTTCATCTCTTCGCTAACGGTTGTCGAGGACATGGCTTGAAATGGATCACTGTGTTGCTCAATTTCTTACGGGTCATGGTAACTTTAAGAGCAAGCTGTATTCATTTAAATTAGTCGAGTCACCATTGTGTCAATGCTCAACACCTAACTCTCACTATGAACAGTCTGCTCATCATATCCTCTGGGAATGTAGTCTTTGGTATAATGAACGTTATATAATGCTGAATAGCTTGTAGGTGACACCTGGGGTATACTATGGGGATTTTGTGTCAACTAGGGTGAAATTCCGTGCGTTTAGGCGATTCTGCCATACATATTATAGAAATCAAATATAGCTCACCTAGGACTCGTAATATTTTGTGGCCATGGTGCTTCCCTGTTTAAAAGGGTGTATGCCTATTTTACTTCATTTTGTCTCCCGCTTTGCTAAGGAGGGAAGTGGATTTACTGTATTTCCAACTCCTCCAATTATCTTCTGACTAATTTCGTTGCGGGTTCCAAGACAGTTTAATTTCTTCCTGGGACTTCCCGAGTGTCATAACTCGGTTTGTTTGTGGGTCACTGCTGTGGATCCTGGTGTACAGAAGTTACAGTGGTGGGCGTGTGGGTGGGATTAGTCCCAAATGTGGGGATCGAACCCACAACACTCAGCGTAGTAGGAAGCGGCGTGGCGACCGCTTGAAATACTTGGCCATCCGTGCAGTTTATAACATGATCACGCTTAGTTGAAGGTAGGAATTGTATAATAGTACCTCACTCTTCACTTTTTACCATACTAAGAAACTTCAGTTCCATAGTATTGTTAGTCAGTGACTTTGTGATGAATTACAAAATGCTAACTTTTGCTGTGTGGTTGCATGCTAGTTTAATCATTTCTGCTATTATAAGAGTCAGATATTACTTGTCCATTATTTTACATTTAATGAAAAAATAAAGAAATTCACACAGAGGCAAATAACAAATATTGTCTATAAGTATATGTGGCTTGATTTGAGCCAAAAATGGTATTTAACTCAGCATTGCGCTACTTTTTGAGAAGCAGCATTGGTAAGAAGCTAATAGTAAATGCTTGGATCACAGTGTCTTCTAAACGATAATTCTTCTTGGATAACATTAACCTATACAATCCTTATACAGCTATGCTCTGGAAACTTCTATCATCTTTTGTATACTGCAAATTTTTTCTCTAGGTTTACCAAGTTTTTTCCCCTGTTCTATTTCATATTTATCAATTTTTTCCCAACCATCCCAATCTACGAAGTTATTATTGTTTACTGAAATAATTTTCTTAATTTCTTGAAAACCTCCTTTTATTTTAGTATCAGCACCAGTTAAATGCTCACACATAACTTTTGCTACCTGGAAAGAATTCCCCATTGTATGTAAGATGACTCCTACAGGTCCAGTTCCTAGCCAGCCAGACACATACAATTTAGCTAAGTCTGGATTACTATCATCCACAACACCCTTATTACTTGGCACTAAACCATTAAGAAACATTATATCGTTATCTGCCTTTATACTCTTATAGCCTATACTTCGAAATACTAAATTACAATTCAAAATTTCTTGTTCATGAGTTGGTATACATTTTTGATCTTCTAACTTTTCGCCAACAAGTTTATTACAAGTTAATTCGACTCCTGTAACTTTATGATTACTATCAACTATAAACTTTTTTGGACTTCTAAAAAATATAGGCTTAAAGTAGTTACTATTTAGATCATCAACTGATTTACCACTTTCATTTAAAGACTTCAACATTAATTCAGTCAATCGCTTCCTAGGTCTTTCAAGATTTGGTACAACATCTTCAACATGTTCAAAGTCCTTTTTTCTCCAAATAGTGCTACAATTTTTTAACTTTAATTGTTCACGAAGCTCTTTAATCGTGAAAGCCACTTGTAAAGGACCTCTTCGTCCAACTAAATACACTTCCTTTACTTTAGATTTTGCTAAAGCACTCACAGCATGTTCTGTAATATCCGTTTTTCTTAGTTCATCAATTGGTGAAAGAAGAATCCGAGCAACATCTAATGCAACGTTTCCTTGTCCAAGAATAGCTGCAGTTTTGCAAGATAAGTCTATCTGAAAATTATGAAATAAATCGTTAAATTTTATGTGTTTAAAAGAAATTGTTACATTTTATGTTTTTTAAAACCAATTGTTACATGTTATATTTTTGGTACATTTTCGTTTCTCTATACTTATAAATATTTCGAGTATTTCAAATATCACGTTCCCTCGAATGGTAAAAAACGTTAAAGGTAATATAAATTATTTAAAAAAGTTAAGTCTATATTATCTCATTAAGATGGTCTTGAATGCAAATAAACTCTATGCCAAGTTTCAACTTGTGTTGTTTACTTTATTTTTGTGTCTAATCTACTATATGAAGTTACACCTACTATATTCGTAACTTTGGGCTGTATTCAAATAATGTTCACTGAATAAATGGAACTTAAAGAACACTATACAAGCTGTATGCTATATACACATTATGTTACTGGACTGTAAAGTACTGTGAAAAGTTTAAATACGTCAGTTAATATCATGGCAACCTGTCTCTAAATCTTAAATACGGTTTAACATGCATCACTGCAATTCACATTAAAAAATGTTGATAACCAGACCGTTTTCAACTTATTATGCAGTAACTTTATTCTAAGATTCATATTGATGTGCCTGACATACTTTTAAATCTTTATCACTAGGAAGGCCATTGTACCATCCCACAAAACTTCTTGCAGCTATAACATTTCCAGCATCTTCATTCTCAATGCCAAGAACTTTATCCTCTTCAGCGCCATATGTCTGAAAGGTTGTTTTTATGATTAAAATAAGAATAATGCAAGTTATAGTAAACTTATATTGAGTTACATTACCAAAAGCACAGCGTCATAATGTTGTCTCAGCTGATGTAGTTGTATGTCTTTACCTAATGTTACATTTCCATAAAAATTAACATTAGCATGCCGAGCTACCTTAGTAAATTGATTTATAACATTTTTTACTTCTGGGTGATCTGGGGCCACGCCATACCTGTGGAGGACCAACAAATTTCATCTACACAATACATATCTCTGAATGATAATTGTAAATATAAATGCAATTTCTTGGTGGTTTAGATTAATTAAGAATATCTCATGAAATTTACTGACTGATTGATAAAATAGGTTTTTTTGTGAATAATATAAATATATAAATATGGTGATATTAGTAAAATATTTTATAATGAAATAAATCAATAAATTAAATAGTATACACTGTTCGCACTGATAGCAGCTTCTCAAGATTGTATTTCATTATAAAGACATGGCTTCATTACATAAATGGTTTTTCTTCTACATGACTTCATTTTTTACAAGATAATATTTTTATCTCTTACATCATTCTGCTTTATTATCAAGTTGACATTGAATTTGTATTTAATATAAATATTCAAATAAGTACCCTTAGATATAATTAGTGTTGATGCAATGTTTAAACTTTTATTTTCTATCTATCAATATCATGTTCACCAATCACACCAACAAATCTGAAAGTAATATTACATTCTACAAACAATTTTAAATTTAAATCGATCGTAGTGAATCCCAACCTTCCATCATCATTGTATTCTGTATTTATTATCTTGTTCAGCAACATTTAAATCACTCAACACTCACTGCAATAGAACTACATTAACATCCAATTATACTGAGTGAAATGAGAGAAAGACAGAGAAACTGCGAGATATCAAACTTTAATAGCATTTTTCAAGAAATGAAAACTAATTTAAATATTCAAATACCTTATCAGTCCAAATGGAACCGGAAGTTTTTCAATAAAATCTATATTTACTGAGTCCAAGTTCTTAGTCAGATGCATTGCTGCATAAAATCCAGCTGGTCCCGCACCCACAATGCAAACTTGACGTGGTGGTTTCTTTATTGTTGATGAACAAAACATTCTTTTCACTAATTTGTAACTCATTTTTTAAATTATATTTATTTTTCTCCGAAGCTATCGCAATGCCAAGGTCAAAGATAAAACGAAACGTCTAATACCGCACGGTAGCAGGGCAATTTTAAATACATGTAACTCGTAGCATCATAATCTGTGATTCAAATCAAATGTCTTGTCTCACTCACTTCTGTCTTCTCAATTGTCAAATTGTAATGGTGATTGATGATGACTATAGTGATTTGGTGAGTGATGGGCAATAGCAAGATGTTGGTGTCGATTTATTTGTCTCTTGACGGTTTTCACTTTTCGAGTTATTTCGTTTCAACTTACATCCAATAAATGAAATCATTTGAAAATAACTGTGTATTTTAATATCTCTCATAATAAATCTAACTTAACCCTACATAAGCAATATTGGCACATACCATTAAATTTGAGTGAATTAGATAATCTTATTAGAGGACTATTAAAGGCTATTGATGATGATGAATTACATAATTTATTGTAAAACGAAATAAATAATACTTACTTATTAAAATCTCAAATAATGTGATTTTTTTAAATTGATCTGAGCGTTAAAAGTGATCGGCCTGTTACTGCATAAAGTAATCACGATATTAACTATTTATCCTCACTAAATGTTATTTCTCAGATAGTAAATAATAAATCAATAGTCTTAAAAACGTGTTGAAGTTATATCACGATCACGATCAGGTAGTTTCTACATTGCCTAAAAGACCAATATCCATTTAGTCGAACCAGACGCCATCAAAATAGTAGAATAGTACCCGTATTTCATCACGACAAATGAATACATGAATTTGAATGAATATTTTTTTGTTAAATTAAACATTTTATTGAATAAGGTTTATAGTACATGTAATTAGCAGAAATTCAAAAATCTCATAAACAGTTTTCGTTAGGCGTTAAGATGTCTCATGTCACGGATATGAAATATCTTTTTAATAGGTTATTTTCTATGAAAAATGGGTAAGCGGTATTTTTTCAATTAATTACTATTTATGTTAAAACAAAACAAATAACAGAACAGAATTTACTTTTATACAATTACATTATTAGATAATAGAAAAGTAACAGTTTATATTGCATCATTCAAGTGGCTTTTTCTCCAAAGGTTTAATGCACATAAATATGCTGTTAGAAGTTATAGTAAGGATATTGGAAAATCTGCCCCAATAGTAAATAGAGGCAAAGTTACGCCTTTGCCACCTCTGTCGGAGCCTATGCCAGATCTTCCCCCAGTAGTTTATTCCACATCAAAATCTGAAGATGTAGTTACAGAGGTAACTGTACTTAGCAATGGACTAAGAGTAGCATCTGAAAAGAAATTCGGACAGTTTTGTACTGCTGGTGGTAAGTATTATATTTAGACATTAGTTTTGACAAGAATATCCCAAATAATAATCATATCTTAACTTTTTTCAGTTGTTATTGATTCTGGTCCAAGATATGAAGTAGCTTATCCAAATGGCATTTGTCATTTTCTTGAAAAACTCAGTTTTGGTGTAAGTAAAAGCTGAATTAGTACATTGCTACTGCAGGTATTTCAAAAAGTTGTTGTGAGTAAATATTTTGTTTAAATACTTTTCAGGCAACACATAAATATGCTACACGTGACGTGATGCTCAAAGAACTGGAGCGACACGGAGGTATCTGTGATTGTCAGGGTTCTCGTGACACTACTGTTTATGCAACAAGTGCAGACTCCAAAGGCTTAGAAGCAGTTACTCAGGTTTGTCACAAGGCTGATTAAACTTTTTGCTTATATTCATTTTTCTAAAGACTAACATTGGTTAAAATTAAGTAACGCATTAGGCGAAAAATAAATAATATTCATGCATTATTTATGTATTTGCCATTTTTTTTATGCTTGTTTGATTTTTTTAATTTATACTTTATTGTAGGTGTTAGCTGAAGTTACACTGAGACCACAATTATCTGAAGAAGAAATAGAGTCAGCTAGACAGGCAGTTGCATTTGAATTAGAAACTTTATCTATGAGACCAGAGCAAGAAACAATATTGATGGATATGATTCATGGGGTAAGTGCTTAGAAAATTCATTATGTTTTACAAGCTTTATCAAATAAAAATTTATTATAATTTTTGACAAAATACATTAATTTCAGGCTGCTTACAAAAAGAACACACTTGGATTACCAAAGATTTGTCCTATTGAAAATGTACATAAAATAAATCGCAATATCATATTGAATTACCTAAAGAATCACTACACACCAGATAGAATGGTTGTTGCTGCTGTTGGGGTAAGCTACTCAAAGATTATCTTATCTCTTTATTGGTTGTGAGATTAAAAATCTTATAATACTTTTCCTCAAGGGAGTAGGTAGAGTTGTATAAACAGCTACATTTGGCCAAAAATAATTTAGTCCCACTAGTATAATGAAAGGATTACAAATGGGAAAATTGGCAATATATAGAAAAGGTATATATATATATATAAATTGACAAGGTGAAGTGTAAGCAATTGGTCAAGCAGGCAACTATAAGCACTTATACTTCTAAATCAAACTAGAGAACAGGAAATAAGAAATAGATTCTGTATGTATCTTCATTATATAACATTTATATAATAATATACTTATTTTAAAAGAATAAAGATTATACAAAAGAATGTACATGAAAAGATTATTACAAAAAATAATAAATAGTATAAAGATGAATGACAGAATAAAACATAGTAAAATAAATTATAACATAATATACAACATATTAAAATAAAACATACAGCATACAGATGGGTAGTGTCAAAAAGAATAGTGTGGAAATCTTAGTTTATAAATTTAGGTCTTAAGAGTGATTTGACCCTGTAATGGTAAAATGCTGATTAACAATCTAATCATTGTCTAGATACTCATAATTTTATTGTAAACATAGTCAATATATTTTATTATGACTGTGTGTAAATTGGTTTTTTAAAGTTGTAATAGTAATAAATAATATCAAAATAAGTTATAAATTATAACTCATTCTATTTTATTTATTTTAGAATTCTTAACTATCACAATGGGTGAGGTTAATCTTTTTACTTTTTTAAATCTTCAGGTTGACCATGAGCCTTTTGTGGAATTTGTCCAGAAGTATTTTGTTGACATGAAGCCGACATGGCACACACCAGATAGTTCTACTTTCACACCTGCTGTAGACAAGTCTATTGCTCAGTATACAGGTGGAATGGAACAGGTGAAGAACAAAGTTTGAAAAATATTTATAAAATTAATAAATAATTAGTTAACTGTATTTTTTTTTAATTTTAGGAAGACTGTGAAATCCCATTATATCCAGGTTCTGATTTACCAGAACTATCACATGTGGTTATTGGATTAGAGAGTGAGTATTTTTATTAACTCTAGCTCTAAATTAAATGTAACACAAAAGAGTAATGCTCTACTAATGACATGCCCAGAAATTTATTTTGCACAGAATGCAATTTAAACAAGGTATTTTATACGTTACTATTAATTTTATAATATTTTTTTATGAAATAACAATTTATGATTTCACACTGTGCTGCTATGATATCATGGTGTTTTATTATTTTATTAATTACTAAAAAAACAAAATTGAGAAAAATAACCAAAAAATCCTTTTTCATGATTACTATCAACATTACAAGCCAAGTAAACTTTTTCATCATCACATCAACAGCCTTTAACAGTCCACTGCTGGACACAAGCCTCTCCTTGGAAAGGAGGTGTAAGGTTAAGGCACGGTACTATTATAATACAGTAGTGTAACTCGGCCGCATGATAGAAATAAATGCCTACAGCCGCGTACGCGTGCCGGTACGTAAACATGCGTTAGGGCTGCCCGTCTCCAGCATTTTCATTATATTTGCCTACTTTCTGTTTCTATTTAGATTTGTGATTGTAAATATCCTTTTTATATAAATAAATGAAATACTTTGTATATTGAAGAGGAAGTGTTCAATAAAAATGCGTGTTGTTTTTTGGTTGGTAGATTTAATTATTTTATTTTCTTTCTGCATTGGAGGAGTTTTTAGTGGTATATGTTGTTATAGTAGCAGCAGAAACACTTTGTATAAATTTCGAAAACTATCTAATGACACACAGACGGTAATTTTTTTTTTCTAGTATTCTTCATACACACAGATAATAAACAAATATTATTAAAAATAAAATACCATGTCTTTACTTTGAATTATGCAAAGTAACAAAACACACATGCACCGAAGTTTTAACACAAGAGTAAGTAGGTAGGTACCTACCGTATCATGATTCATTCAGAACCTCATATAACCACCTATTTCACTCGTCTCAATAACTTTCCGTTACTCTATTCGCTTTATTAATTAATCCAAAAACCTTTTTTTTCGTAAGATAAAAGGAAATACTCATCCATAAAAAAGACACACATTATGTACCTACCTACTAGTAAGTAAAATTATTTTATAGTCTTACCTTTCAGAGTTTCCAGGTAATTTAAAAAAAACCTTATGTCTGGATGCGTTATTGACGAATTCATACAACCAAAAACAGCACAATATTTCCTACTCGTCATATTAACTGATTTTTAGAGAAAAAAAAAATCGCGCGGTTATTGTTAAAAAAAACAACACGCCGTCCGTTCGACACTGCGGTACAGCCGTGACTGTCTGCGCCCCGAGCGCACCCCGAGATCGAGGCGCGTAGGTATAGCTCGCGTTTCGTCCGTTTGTATGAAGTTGGAGTACTTTATTATAATTGTACCGTGGTTAAGGTTTAAGGAGGATGTAAAAATAACTAGCCAAAAAATCTTTTTCATGATACCTGTTAAATTATGAAAGATGGGTACTTATCTAGATTTTTTCCTATGAACTAACTTCCATTATGTACTGTAACACCAAAGGAAGATATTTAATGACTTCATGACACAAGTTATATGAAAAGTATTTCAAGTCACTATATCACCTATTCATATGCTTTTGTGATGTCATTTTAGGCTGTTCTCATGGTGACCCTGACTTCGTAGCAACATGTGTGTTAAACATGATGATGGGAGGTGGTGGTTCATTCTCGGCTGGAGGGCCTGGCAAAGGAATGTATACTCGACTTTACACCAATGTACTGAATAGGTAAGAGATAATATTAAATCGAAATTTTGAAACAAAACAAAATAGTACATGTGAACAGAATCGTAGTTTTTTTTATTAAGAAATTAGAAATGGTATACAAGATAATATTTAGAGCTTTACTGATTACTTACGCGCCGAAACTCATTGTTCGAGAACCCTCCCCAGGTTTGGGCTCCATTAACCTCTCTCATACGGTGAAAGCAACGAAAGGAATTGGCTGCACGGATGGCGTAGTGGTTTAAGCGGTCACCTCGCCGCTACCTACAGCGGACAGCACTTTGTGTGATCCACAAATTGTTGTTCGGAGTCTGGGTGTTCTTTGTCTCCGTTTCATGTGTGTTTGTAAAGTCCCGTAACACAGGATTTATTCCTAGTGCGGGAGTTGCCTTTTTTAAAAGAATAAAGAAAGAGCAGAAGAACTGCTTGCTTTTCTCTGTGAAGCGGTGAACCGCATGATTTTTGACCGAAAAAACGGACATCTTATTCCATTTACATCTATTGATAAACAAAATCGTTTTCAATGGAAGAGTAGAACTCCCGTGCGACAATTTGGATTTAAACGTAAGATATTTGACATTAAAGTATTTCTATGGAAAATATAAAATTATTTTTAATTTGAAAAATATCACTTTTTATTGCTTATAGGACATGTAATTTGTTAACAAACATGATTTTTTGCAACAAAAACTACCTTAATATTCTATGCTTCAAAAGAACGGAGAATTTTTTTTATTGTTGTTTTAGGTTTTGCTTTTATTCCTTTATGAGTAAAAATTGGGATCCTATTTTCGTTACTAAAAAATACAATTTGCATTACTAAAAAAAAAACAGTTCCTAACTCCATAGCATTTAGGAACTAAATACCTTCTAAAGTTTTTTATGATAATTTTGGTTTTACGTCACCTCATAATTTATTTTTCATTAATTATTTTTGAAAAGTTGTCACTTTATATTAACTGTGATGAAAAATAACTTTAAACAACAACAGCCAACCCTAAAACCAAAAGTATCTTAAAAAACTTTAGAAGGTTGTAGTTCGGTTTCGGCTGAAAATCCTGTTTCGGTCGTACACTATAAATAATTTCACAATTTACAGTCTTGCAAAAAAATTCAACCTCCTAGCCCTCATTGCTTTTCTTTTAATTAAATAAATTATGTATTAATTTGAAAATGTATTGTTGTAAACATATAACATTAAAATATATTCAAACATAAACCGCACACTTTTTAGAATGCATACCAAAGTCAGAAACAGGCTTCATAATTCGAGAATCGTGAAATTGATGTCCATTCAGTCCAATTTAAGCTTGCTTCAACGGGAAGGCACAGTCAACGTCACAGTTTCTCTCTCATCAGATGAAGATAGCGATATTAGTGACAGTGAATGCGAAGTAACCGAAGGCGATCCGCTTTTGTAATTTTTTTACACACAAGCCTAATACATTGTTCTACCTTAATTATTCGTTAATAATATAATGCCTTTTTTTTAAATTTCAAGTCTGTATTATCTCAGGAGTCTTTTAATCACAATCGTAATGTTTTTAATACGTCTTCTTCTTATGAAATATGAAGTGTTTAAAATTCACCAACAAGCATAAAATGCGGTTAATTAACCGTTAAGAACAAAAAATGCATTTTTAACCGCTAAATTCGTTATTAACCGGCTTCGCATATATACTACAGTTACATACCAGGGATGAATTACATCATCACACCTGTGACTGACTTACAAAACCACTGCTACTTAATTATTATTATTACGCTAGCACAAGAATCGCGAAAGGTCTAAAATAAAAAAAAGGTCGTAATCTTTGATATAAAGAATTTTGATTGATTTTAATACCATTTATCTTTGTCTATGATGAAATCACAATCACATGTGAAATCGCTGTGACTGTAACCAATCATTTCAGCAAATGACAATGATTTAATATAAACAATAATTTCCATATCTAATTTTTTATTAATTCATTAGGAATTTGATTTCAATGCAAGTACTGGCTTTGCAGATATCACTGGATGTTTAATGCTACAGCCTATAACCACGCGTACGGCGACACTGGGCTGTTCTGTGTACATGCGGCATCTCCACCTGCCCGTATTTATGATACAACGATAGTGATCGCACGGGAGCTTGGCAATATGATTGGAAAAGTAGGAGAAATGGAACTTAGGGTACATAAATTTGAACATAAAATGATTGATTAATTTCTTCTATTCTGTGTCTAAAGTTAATATGGATTCATCATATTTGCAGAGAGCTAAAACTCAATTACAGTCAATGTTATTGATGAATTTAGAAGCTAGACCAGTAGTGTTTGAAGATGTTGGCCGACAAGTGCTTGCGACCGGCAAGAGAAAGCCGCCTTCGTTCTTTATCAATGAAATCGGTGAGAAAAATCTAAATTTTTCGTTATGTATTATAAGTATCTACTTATATATATAACACTGCACAACAATTACCACAGGAATGACCCACTAAGTTGACAAATAAGCACAAGTCCTACATGATGATATATGCATTAATATAATCAACAATATGGTTTCAACTATAAAGCATTTTTGATAAAACTGTGTGGAGGAATGGCTGTCATGTCCCTCCAACACAAAGGGAGGATCTTCTGACCAGGCGAGGTGATCATGTCTGGTGAGCCGCGGCCCGGTTGGTGTTGGGAAGTTGTCTATGTGCTAATCGCGCTACTTGCGTCTGTAATCTAACCATGTGAATCACTCATATACACTGACTCTCAAACTTCTTAAATGAATAGTAATGACACATATAATAGCAGGCATTCTATAAATAAATATTGAGTTGTGATTTTAAAAACGTAATTGGGTCGTGTATTTGTAACATGTTAATATGTAACTTATATGGTTTTTAATATTGTTCTTACAGAAAAAATCACAGCTGATGACATTACCCGCGTCGCAAGGCGAATGTTGAGCACACGTCCGGCAGTAGCCGCTCGCGGAAAACTCGCTAACCTTCCCTCTTTCGAAGAGATTCAATCAAATATGACTCTTAATAATGACGCGCCCCAAGGACGAAGATTAAACTTATTCCGTGCTTAAAGCATCGGATTAATGCATTTGAGTAAATGTTATGTGAACATAGTTTTAATTTGTTATTATAAACTATTCCTTTATTTAATTTAGACAAATATTTCTAATATATATCTTCTAACTCGACTATGATACAGACAGGGCTATGTGGCTGCATTTCAATTTAATGAAAAGAAAGTGGTTTAGAAATAAACTACTTCATACAGTACATTTGGTATTTTTTCATAAATTTCAGAATGTCTCAAAATCAAGATAATTTCGTAGCCCGTGTTTTATGCTCAGAACAAATAAAAAAGTTGAGATGGAACTTTTGTGAAGCACGAAGTGACGGTTTTATAAATATGAATGCGTGGGCCGGTGCTGCCATCATAATTTTATTGAAAATATTGGTTTCTATGCTTACTTATGTTTAAAACGCGATTCCATCCTGCGATCTATCTCTTGTAGTTTGATTTTTACTACCTTTCACAACACAATTCGGCATCTTTACTTGTAAATGTCATTGACTTTTTGATGACGTTTTGACTAAAAAGACGTAGTTTGTGTATGTACTCGGGATGAAATAAAATCACAATCACTTGTGATAAATCATATAATTACACCTGGAACTGATTTACAAAACCACTGCGACTTATTACTATTACGCTATCGTAAATCGCTAATAGTAGGGGAGCCCATGATGCTAAATGGTGATTTACTCGAGCGTCATGGGGAGGGGACCTATTGCATTTGAAAGATTAGGTAATAAAATGAATAAAAGTTATACAATGTTTCCACTTGCAGCGGTGGGAAAAGCTTCTACAGGTTTTGAAAAATGTAAGGGTAGGATATCGAAAAAAAAAAGCCGGCGCACCAGATATTTTGCGGACACGTTATTTGGACGCCAAACTCTCATTGAAAGGTCAGACGATTATAACGTGACACAAGCTGGTAGCGAATTATCGTAAATGCAAACTGCAAATTCGAAAAATCGCCATTTCGAAATACCCGAGCGTGTTGGATTTTATACAGACGGTTCAGCTTGATGTCCCTGTCATACCAGCCAAAATTTTGACAATAAAAAATAAAAAATCTAAATATTTAAACAGTCAGATTATTTTTTACTTGTGACGGTTTGAAATATTTTTAGTTTTTTTATAAAATGTGACAAATAAAGACACAAAAATTATGTAGACATTTAAAGATTTCTTCCATTGTTTCCTTCAAAATAAAAACAAAATGTCAAGGTCATGTGTTTTTTTTTTGGCATTTTGTGACCCTCTTCTTTGTTACGCTCAAATCGTCAGATTGTTTAAATACACACTAATGCGTATGTAATTGACTCAACTTACCTTAATCTTACACGCTCCAGTATTTTTGGCTATATGTAGGGCTCGTATTTGGTGGAGGTACTCAACTGGGTGTTAGGTAGGTTTAAATCAAAAAAAATAATTAAATCTTTGATAAAACGAATTTTGATTCATTTCAATCTTTGTCTATGACGAAATCACAATCACGAAATTGCTGTGACTAAAACCAATCATTTCATCAAATGATTTAAAAGGAGCAATAACTTCCATGTCTAGTATGCACACGCCAAGGTGTAGTTTTAATTGGCCTCACTTCTTTGTTCACAGAGTACCTTCTTAACTTTTCTATTTGATCTGAGGTTTTATGTATAAGCTCCGTTTCAGAACTGCATAACTTTAATATAACTTAGTAAAACTTTCAATAGAATAAATTAAATAAAAATAAACATCGATAAAAAAACATAAAGCTAATCAAGCGATTCATTTGATTGTATGCTATCTGCTTGTATAAGAAATCAAAATCGTGTCACCATAACTGTCATTATACTGATGATGGTTCAGGCAGTCCTTCCTTAACATTACTAAGAGATTTCTTAAAAACAAATCAAGTTAATAATTAGCCGCGAGCATTGCTAGTCTGAAATACTAACACAAAAAGACGATGAGCCGTCTAACAGAAGCTTGGAACCAATCATGTTATGAAATGACTGGGGGAACGTGGTCCATAAAACCAGAATCTAATCACGGAGACTTCTAAAAAGACATTAAAGACAATCCACGAGGCAGCGATTTAAATATTTTAGTCTCAGTTTAGGAAATGAATAAATATTGATATCCGTTTCATGTTTTCATTACCCTTACACCTATCCCTATAATATGTCAAAAGATGTCAATGGCTAAAGAACTCCATGAGCTGGATGATAAGTTGAAAATTAATAGAGATAGATAGTTTTACAATTTAGGGAGATCGATATGACGGTTTTCGCAGATTGTCAGTATAGAGTGAGTTTGTATTCTTAGTTAGATTTCTGGAACACCGCACATAATACTTAAAGCGGATACAGACATTGTGAGGCATGTGCCGCACACGCCTCTCAACATATGCCTCGATTTGAATTTGTGAATTTCGCTTTGATCGTTGAGCGTTTGGCGACATATACTGGCCCGTACGTAGCACATGTTTCGCCACGACTATGAACGTCCATACAGCATATTTTAAGAACGTGCGAAGCATTCAATGAACACCGTTCCATACCCAAGCCTCGCTATTTATTTGCCGTTAAAAACAGACTGAACGAGACAACCCTAACTACGACTGTCAAATTGCACCTTTTAAGTTGGAAATAACTTGTGACTCTAGATAGTAGTGAGTATATTGTGCAAAAAACTAAAAACATAAGAAGTGGTCTTAAATTATTCTTTTTGCACACTATACTAAAATATGCAAAAATTCTCAAACGATCATAAAATATACAAAAATTTTCAGCGAACGAAATAAGGGTCTTATTTCGTTCGCTGACTAACTTTGCGTTTTCTAATAAATTGAAGTATGTGATGACTAAAGTTACCAACTCACTGAATAACGGGCAAGCAAGGAGATAAAATACAACATTTTACAAGAACATGAAAATATATTACTTCTCAATCTGATGAGGCGATGACATTCCTTTCGTAGAATACCTTAAAAGAATCCGGGTGGAATCATAATGATGAATTAGCTATTATCAAGTTCTGTAGAAGTTTTAACTAGCATTTTTGACTTTGTTCTATATCAACAGTAGGATAGTGCTAAATAAAATCGATTGATAGAGTATAAAAATTAACAAACTTAAACAGAAAAAAACAACTGTCTGCTATACCAGATAAGAATAAATGCTCACAATTTTTGAAAAAAAAAAAATATATTCACAAAGTCTTTCATATATAGTTAAGCATTCCTTGTATTCTGGTTATAAAATACGACCAAAAATAAATCACGATGATTCTTGCAATATTCATTTTGCGTTTATTGATAAAATTACTATAAATTACTATATAATGTATATAAGTATGTACTTAGATTTACAAACCTAACATCAGATATAAGTGGTCAAAATCTTTTCTTACATGTTCGAATTTTGTAAAAAGAATGTGTTTTCTTTAACTTTTATTACTTAGTTCGTTTTTAAACTTGTAAAAGGTTGTTCCATTTCTTTCAATATTATTTATCAAATAGTTAAGCTTACATGTTTCAAGAACAAAATAAATTGAATTTAAAGTGTTTAAGTTCATGTAGAGTAGATTTTTTGTTTGGCAAGGAAATATTTTGTTTTTACTATGGCAGCTCCAAATTTGTAATGGCAACACCCAAATTTTACGAACTTCCTTTTTCTCGTGTTCATTTGACACAACGAGGTTAGAATCGCTATTTTGCTTGTAAAAAGTATGTAATTATTTTAAAAAGCTTGTTTCTACATAGTTTATTGTGGCTTGTGACTATTATACTAATATAGTTGTTGTTTGTAGGCATTAAAAATGGCTGAGGAAAACTGGAACGATGATGCCGTGGAAGGCAGCATGGCTGTTGACAGCATGCCATTGCCCCAGCCCGCCGATATTCCCGAAATTAAACTTTTCGGAAGATGGAGTTGTTACGACGTTCAAGTGTCCGACATGTCTCTTCAGGATTACATCTCTGTTAAAGAAAAGTACGCGAAGTACTTGCCTCACTCCGCTGGAAGGTATGCACACAAACGTTTTCGTAAAGCTCAGTGCCCTATTGTTGAGCGTCTGACCAACTCACTTATGATGCACGGCCGAAATAATGGCAAAAAGCTGATGGCTGTCAGGATTGTGAAGCACGCCTTTGAAATTATTCATTTGCTCACTGGTGAGAACCCTCTGCAAGTTCTTGTGACTGCCATCATCAACTCTGGACCCCGTGAAGACTCAACTAGGATTGGTCGTGCTGGTACAGTTCGGCGACAGGCTGTTGACGTTTCTCCTCTGCGTCGTGTGAACCAGGCTATCTGGTTATTGTGCACGGGTGCACGTGAAGCTGCTTTCCGTAACATCAAGACTATTGCCGAGTGTGTAGCTGATGAACTCATCAACGCAGCTAAGGGTTCATCAAACTCTTATGCCATCAAGAAAAAGGATGAGTTGGAGCGTGTTGCTAAATCCAACCGTTAAAACTTGTATTTTAAGATGTCTCAATAAAAAAAGTCTGAAAAGGTTTTGTATTATTTATTCATTTTCTTTGTTGTAAGAGATATCATCCCAACTTTGGATGCTTTAGAAGAGACATGAGTATTCACAACAATTGAGTATTGTTAAGGATCATTAAAATTCTAAAATTTTTTTACTAACAAACATTTGTTATGACAGATTGAAATTGTTATGAAAATTAATTGTTTGTTTATAGAGATATTTACTTTTTCATACAAGTTTATGTTGCAATTTATGCTACAATTGGATCCTTCTATTTCAAATCCGTATATTGTTTCTCAAAGAAGCAAGGGATAAAACTATTATCAGGTTTTAGTAACAATAATATTTTTTGCTGTTTAGGATTCAGGCTTCTATGGTAGCTCATATGAAACAACAATATTAATTGTGAACACATGTGGGCTAATTGAGATTTGTTAACTTTATTCATTTGCATTGAATAAGTTTCTTAACATGCTGTACATATGAGTATATTGGTAAGTAGTTAAATAATTTTAAAAGTCAAGTCAAACATAAAGGTACAGTAATAAATTGGCTTTTGGTCAGTTATGGACCCATTGCCAACTGACTATTAGCAAGAGTTGACTGTGACTCATCCCTTGTAGATATTTTGCTTCTTTAGTTTTCAGAAACTCAGTTTAATTTTCCTTTGAGTTTTACTGGGTGAAGAACCAACTTCAATAAATAACTACTGTAAGAAATACTTTTAAAACATAGTTCTATTCAAATGTATACCTATCCAGGTAACACATTTATATACCTTCGGGAATATATAAATTTTAGAACATGAAAGTGTTACAAGTGATAAAACTTTATTTCATACTTCTAGTATAAAATACAGCTTTAATATAACAATCAATAGTAACTCTTATCTCCCTCTCTTTAGTACGCTAAACGGTTACTAAAGATGGCAATAGAGTTTTATTTGTACATTAGGCAATTACACTTAGGCATATGCATATATGCATGATTTCACAAAGATTAAGAAGAAATTCATCGCAACTTGATAGTATGTTGTGCTTATGGCAAATATTCCTGTTAAAAATTATAAAGTGTTTAGTTCCTCATTTCTCATGAATGCAATCACAATGTGATACAGCGAAGCGTGGCAGGGTGCAGCTAGTGGTGAATAAAATATATGAAGATAAATTAATAATCTATACAAATAAATAAAATATGAGTGTCTGTTTGTAATATTAAAATAACACCTTTTTATTAAATGCATATGTATGCTTACACGGTACATATGCCAAAATAACATTTTTTACAATTTTTGTCTGTCTGTTTGTTCCGGGTAATCTCTGGAACGGCTGGACCGATTTCGACGGGACTTTCACTGGCAGATAGCTGATGACATAAGGAGAGTAACTTAGGCTACTTTTTTTAGACTAGCTTCGCCCCGCGGCGTTGCCCGCGGTTATAACAACAAAAGCGGGTTTCAGCTAGTATTCATTTTTTTTTTTTTTTTTTATTTAAAAAAAAAAGACAACTCCCGCATTAGGAATATATCCTGTATCGCGGGGGACTTTACAAACATACATGAAACGGACACAAGGAACACCCAGACTCAGAACAACAATTTGTGGATCACATAATGTGTCGTCCCATGTGGGGATCGGACCCACAGCACTCAGCGTAGTAGTGAGCGGCGTGGCGACCGCTTAAACCACTACGCCATCCGTGCAGTCCGTCATTATAACTGAACATCATTTGGGTGCTTGTTTTTTTTTTATGGAAGGGCTAACGACCAGGCAGGTCACCTGATGGGAAGTGACTACCGCCGCCCATGAATGCTGATCAGTATAGCGGCACGTGAGGATTCAATCCTAACGATTCCTCAGATATTCCTCCATGATATATACGATAGAGAATGCAGAGTGAAGCTACATGTCTACGTAACGCCAAGGAGCCGATCGGAGATATTTTGGCTATCGACGATTCCAGTCGCTCTTCGTTGGAGGAGGTCCAGAGGGAGAAGCTGGTACTGGGGTGACCCGGCACAGAGATGAGAACAGTAGGTATTCCATATGCGCTCAGACTTGCGCCTTATAGAGTTGAACAAGGAGGGCCGGATTGAAATAATGCCTCGATCGGGTCAGCAAACCGACCTCAAAACTGGACTTCGCTCGAGCAGTCGATGCGTAGGATCCCGATACTGGCTGAGGCAGTTAGGGAGGTGCTCTCAAGGCGAGTTGATACGACAAACGGTATCTTTTTTGCGGTGAACACGTGAACCTGTATCTTTTTTGGGTTAAAATGGACTAGATTTAGTCGACCCTAATCTGAAGCCTCCACTAAGGAAATTTCGGTGGTAACGTGGGCCCAGCATATATTGTTGGACGATTTCTATAAATTAGAACGTACCATAACATTTATAGGCACTTAATTCGAGGAACAAACTTCCCTGCATAGACTATCTGAATTTCAGCATATTTCAACCAGAAACAATTCTAAAACTAGAGTTTAATTGTAAAGTATGTTTAAAATATTTTTATTTATTTTTCGTTCAAATAATAAATATATAATCCCTAAAAATAACACCAATTCATTAGATTAACATTTACTACTGGTATGTGAAAGTGCTTAAATTTGCGTTCCTGTGTATTATGAAATTCTAAGGATATTAGCTGGTGACTTGTTAGCGATAGTTTTAAACGAAAACGATTTGTCACGTGACATTATTAGAAGTATTGGGATGAAAGTTGAGGTAATGACTTGTAATTGTTATATTATTGTATTACGCCATCTTATCTGGCACCAATTTTATTATATTTTGCAATGAGAATAAAATAAATAAAAAACTTGTACAAAAATTATTATTATTATGATCTGTGACACGTCATCATCTACAAAATAGTTGCCAATGTTGTCATAAATGTCATTGTCAACTGGTCTAAATACATTGTAATGTCAAGTCAATGCAAAAAGTGGTGAATTGAATGTTTCGGTGCAGTGGAATTTAGGCTTATTTAGGTACACGTTGGTCTGACTTGCGGTTTGATAATAATTATAAACAAATACTATAGAAACAACACTTTGAAATGATACACAGTTTATTCATTATAAATCCGTCTGGGTAAGCATTTTGTAATTGCATATTGCTGCGGCAAACGACAACCTCATTCAAATTATCTATGTATGAAAATAACAGACCTGTTTATATTACTTATATGGTACTGTAAATGCCCGATATTAGCAACTGAATACTGGTGTATTTATTCAAATTCCAAAACTCTTAGTTTGTAGTTAAATGAGAAACGAATTTATTTCATTTTTTAACTTTGATTCAAGACTTTATTTTATGATACAATTTGTCGCTTCATACTTTTAAACCTGTTAACAACTTCTATATTTACATATTTATTTTACTGATAGCCAGTATATTATTATCTAATAAACAAAGGTAAACCAAGTCATAGTGGTGTATGTAAACATTCACTTGTGGATGACTGTGCTTCTATATTCATAGTAACAACTATATTATATCTGACATAATATGAAAAAGAAACATTTGTTTGCAATCATATTAATAATAGACTGCCATGATTTTAACTTAGATACAACACTATATACTACTATACACTACTATTCTATACCTCATTTCAATAATTTTTATTTTCTTTTTATTAGAGATGTATTTCTGGAGAAACACTGGAGGAGTGTCATACCAAGATCAGTATGTGATTACTATTTGGAAGCCCAGCGGGCATCACCCAATGTATGTGTTAACTTTATTTAGATTATTTCATTACACTAATTTTTAATGTAGTGTTGTGAACAACTTTGTAATATATGTTTATATTTGACTGCAGGATGTCCCACCTGTGCTGGCAGCTCCTCATCATTATCTGATATCCATACAGAGTGGTGGGGTGGCCTTAGTTGCAGTGTGCATGCAGGAAGTTGCTCCTTTGTTTGTTATTGAGTTCCTCCATAGAGTTGTTGATACATTCCAGGTATGAATGTGCTAAAACATTTGAATTTTTAAGTTTTACTAATGCCTCTTAACATTCCATGATATATAATTATGTATAGGCAATAATGAGATCATATTATAAATATTACCTCCTTTTAAATCACCTAATATGTTGACCTAATATTTTCAGTTTTTTTTTACCTTATGAGTATGAGGAAGTTTAAGAAATTTTAATAAGACATTTAACTTTTCAGGACTATTTTTCAGACTGCACAGAGACTATAATTAAGGAAAACTATGTAGTTGTATATGAGGTATAAACTATTGTTGTTTTTCAATTCTTCTGTGTTAAAATAGAATGTGATGCTAATCACACTTGTATTTTGTTTTCAGTTATTAGATGAAATGCTTGACAATGGGTTCCCTCTTGCCACTGAGAGTAATATTCTTAAGGAATTGATCAAACCACCTAATATTTTAAGAACTATAGCTAATACTGTTACTGGAAAGTCTAAGTAAGTTTGGCAAAGAATATATTTTATAGTGCTCTTATTATTCTCTGAAGAATATAAATTAAGCCATATTCTCTTTCATTGTGACAGAATTGGGTTATATTTCTATTATATGTACCCACTGTGAATAATAATAATTTGAGTCACTTCACTTATGGCCTTCTGGTCCTGAAGTGGGCAGAGCCTGCCTAACCCTCCAGAGGCATCGGCCTCGGACATCGGTCCAGCAGTGGATTATTAAAGGCTGTTGATGATAATAAACATACTTACTAAATATTTACATATTATTAATACTCTAGTTTGAGATCAGATAGCCGTGTGTGAGATGTGTGAATATATTATTATTATATTATAATATTATTAATAAATAAATTCCACCCAGACTCAAAAAATAAAAATAAGTAATAGTGTTCATTACATTGGTCTTGATTGGAAATAAAACCCACAGTAAATCAGTCAGGATCACTCAATATTAGGGCCAGTTGGTCTAGTACTGAGTGAGCCAGTCAATATGGAACTAATAGTACAACTCCTAGTTATATAGCAGTATTTTCAAAGAGAGTGAGAACACAGTAATAAAGTATATTTATTTTCAGTGTTTCTTCAATATTGCCATCTGGGCAGTTATCAAATGTACCATGGCGTCGGTCAGGTGTGAAGTATGCAAACAATGAAGCCTACTTTGATGTAGTTGAGGAAGTTGATGCTATTATTGATAAGAGTGGTGCTACTGTTTCAGCTGAAATACAGGGTTATGTATGTAATATTTATTCTCTTACTAGTATCTCATTTAATTTACATAAATAAGTTATTACAATGTAAAACATATATTTAAGTAATATTAAACATGCAAGTCATTATTTATATAATAAATGTTTATGCCATGTAGTTTTGTATCTTGTTCATTGTCATTATGGAGAGTAGAGGTGATGAGAATATATATGTATATATAGGTCCACTTATATGTATAGTATTAAAACAGGATGGTCCAATGAATATTGTAGGTAATCTCATTTTTCGTGGGAGAGCAATACTTTGGCACAGGTGGGCCGGCTCGACCGGAGTGACAGCCTTACAGAAAACCAGTGCTAAGCAACTCTCTTGTTGCTTTTCACCCAGTGAGTGAGGTTATCTGAGCCCAAACCCCTCCTCCCCCTGATTCTTAGGGAGGACCCAAAGAATGTCAACGCACTTGTGACACCTGATTTTTTATTATTATTGTAATTTTTTTAATAATAACAGCTATACTCTATCTTTACAGGTTCTCAAACTAATACGGATAGTATAGCTACATAATTATTATTATTAAATTAAACAGTACAAAATCAAATTACACTATATACAAAATCTTAAACTTTATGGTCCAGTAAGAAACTCTTGTGAATTTGCTCAGTGAACATATGAACAAAAATCGGTAGATTAAAATTTGTTTTTAAGCGTTAAGGGGTTTTTTGGTGTTCTGTACTGGGAATCAGTGCCCCCCGCCGTCCTGAAATGTAAATTTTTAATCGATTCTAAATAACTAAAAATTTTTGAAAAATTTTTTGGATAAAATTTAAAGTATTTTTGTTTTTTAATTTGTGTTATGTTGTCTTTTTCGGGTTTTGCTGTTGTATAAATTAAGGGGAATGCCGATTACATTGCGTTTGTCAACCCCGCGTTTTTTTCGACGATGTTTCTTCCACCATGCGTTGGGTTTTAAAGAGAGGGGAGGTAAGAAATATGTAAAAACTTAAAAAGTACTACATGGTTTAGATATACTCCCCTATCGATAAAAAGCTGCCACTGGGCTATTTCGATATAACAGAAGGGTAGATTTTTATATTGGGGGGTATTAGCTACATTGCTTTAGTCGAAATACAAGTGAACAGGGAAAGTGCATACATCTATACTCTATACTTATACAAATAAAAAAAATTGGGGTGTTGTTTTTTAATAAAATAACCCCTTTTTTCTAAATGTATTATTTTTTGTTTACAATTACAATACAATTTTGTCTTCTTTCGTCGTTTTTTGGGTCATCTCTGGAACGCTGGACCGATTTTGACGGACTTTTAGGCGATAGTGATGACAAAGGGGTAACTTGGCTAATTTTTTAGACTAGCTTCGCCCCGCGGCGTTGCCCCCGGTTATAACAACAAAGCGGGGCACCGCGGGTTTCACTTTTTTATATATTTTTGTTTGCTCGTATTTTGTTGGGCTTTTTTTTTCGATTGATCATTATGAATTTTTCATACATTTGCCAGGAATATAGCAAAGACATTGAAAAAGCAGTTTTTTCAATTCCAACAGAAACTATTATAATATACTTATGGAAGAACACACTCAGTAGACCAGACCAGTCAGATATAGAAATTAAATTTGGACTTTATCACCATTAAACCAATCCTCTCTGAGAAATGATATTGTAGCTATTTTAATTTTGAATAACAAATTTTTTTGCAGTCTGAAAGAATACTACATTTATTCCGCCTGAACGGTAATTTTCCCGTCTGATGTGTACCACTTTGGATCACAAAGTGAGGGCGAAAACCAATCTCGTGCGAAAAAATTCACTCTGCGCCGAACGGCGACCGGGGGCCGGTTAATCGACAGCGGACCCAAGGGCTATGGGAAGAGTCTTAGAAATAAGTAATTTTAACTTTATATATCTAACTTTTATACAAATAATTCCCATCCATTTTACAACTTCAAAATTTTGATCCCGTTTTTGATCCGGACACTAAAAATCCTGGGTTGTCATACTTGATAAGCATCTCAATTTTAAAACACACATTATACACTTAGCAAATCGAGTACGAAAACTCATCTACATTTTTAAAAAAACCCTTCGACACATCGCCAATGCTCACATCATTCGTACCGTGTATTACGCTATGTGTCAGTCAATTATTTGCTACTGTAATCACACGTTTGGGGGTGTGCCGCTAAAACGCTTTTAAAACCACTGGAGGTAGCCCAGAGAGCCGTACTTAAAGTTGCTAGTTTTCGCCCAATACGGTATCCCACTTTCGAGTTATATCAAAACTGCAACGTTCTTACAGTTCGACAACTTTTCATATTAAGCTCTATACTCCAACAGCACACAAAAGCTCCACACATACATGAAGACGCTATACCTAAACGAAGAATCAAAATCTACACTACACCTCACACTTACTTCACTTTCACCAAACGATTCTTTTTCTACCTAGGACCATTTCTGTATAATAAATTTAACCAAATCTTGCCGATACACAAATCCTCCTATGCTTCAATAAAATCTCAAATTACTCAATATATCTCTAAGAAAAACTATATGGAAACGGAGAAGCTGATGACTTTAAAAAGCCTATAATAAGTAGATAATCCATAGATTCACACACATGCACAGACATTACACGCACACGCACACACATACACTCTCACACACTCACACGTGCACACAAGCTAACACATCAATTAATGTAATACAAAGTAATTTAAAAATTTTATGTGCTATGTACCTTTTGCTTAATTTTATGGAACTCAGCAACGGGACTGTTCTTAACACAGGCTATACAAGTAGCCTAGCTAGAACGTCCAGGACTACAATATAAAAGGTTGTATTTTACGAAATAAATAGGGGGTGGGGTTCAATTCAGTTGTATTCTGGATGGGTGTGTACCAGTAAAATATCGATTGTGAGTGAAAAACTGAAGCAATGGGTCTTCAACCACAACAGTGGCACATCTAGTCATAGACTCGGCTTTACTGTATTCATATAGTGATATAAATGTTGTATGCAATGTGTTTCAGATGTGGCATTAGAGATTTGTATGCCCAAGTGTGTGTTGAATTGCTCACTGACCGCTAACCAAGGGAAGTATTCGTATGATCCAGTTAGTAAAGTGCTGCTATGGGACATAGGACGCATAGAGTTGCCAAAACTGCCTAATATTAGAGGATCTGTAAGTATTTGCTTTTAATATTTGAGTAGCTGTAAGTAGAAATAGCCGTGCCTCTAGCCGTTAAAATCATTAAACGCTGAGTATATTATTATTCATTGACGTGGCCATATAGCATATACTGTTTAACAACTTTAGCCTTCTGTACTTTCTCTACATATAAATATTAAGTATTCAAAATTTCTTCGTTTCAGTGCACATTTTCTTGACAACGAATTTACGTATTAATATACAATAGGTAAATCAATTAGCCGCCCTATAGCCTTCTAAGCCGGTTTACAAATATTATAATAGATATGGCAATTTATGTGCTAATATGAGACTACAGCCAGAAGTTTTTCTGAAAGTTTAAAAAAAGGTTATTACCAAGTTTGTAAAACCTCGTTTGTCGTTCAGTCAGTCAGAAAGCTCTTGTTTTGGATAAACACACATCACACACCTACATCACATCAAGAGCCTTTTTTCTTTCCTCTTTATGTTAAAGAACTCCCGCACTAGGTATATATCCTGTGTTGCGGGAGACTTTACAAACATACTCGAAATGAACGCAAAGAACACCCAGACTCAGAACAACAATTTGTGGATAACACAAAGTGGGGATCGAAGCCACAACACTCAGCGAGATGACCGCTTAAACCACTACCCCATCTATACAGTCGCCTTTAATACTGGACCACTGCTGGATATAGACGCTGGGTAGACGGGCTGGTATAGGGTTTATTTCAAGTTTGCGTTACATTTGTCCTGCGTAGTTTGCTCCCTTAGTCGGCTGTTACGAAACCCACGGGATGAATAGGGGTGTTTTTTGTTTATGTTAGAGGGGGTAGACGAGCAGATGGGTCACTTTCCATCAGGTGACCCGTCTCTTATATATATATATAGACTGTATATCTATATACTAGCTGACCCGCGCAACTTCGTCTGCGTCTCTCAATAGTAATAAATTTTCTCCGTTTTTGAATCATTCTTCATTGGTGCTCCGCTCCTATTGGTCTGAGCGTGATGATATATAGCCTATATCCTTCCTCGATAAATGTGCTATCTAACACTGAAAGATTTTTTTAAATCGGACCAGTAGTTCCTGAGATTAGCGCGTTCAAACAAACAAACAAACTCTTCAGCTTTATAATATTAGTATAGAGATATAAAAGATTTCCACGTATATAGTCACTCATCACGATATCTCTGGAACCATTAGAGCTAAAGACTTGAAATTTGGTAGGAATATTCTTTTCACCGAGTAGAGGTCAGCTAAGAACAGATTTCAAGTTTTTTTTTTTTTTTTTTAATAATGTTCATAGCAAAACAAGCAGGGTCAGCTAGTTTCTATATAAAGGGTTTTTATCACTATAAAGTAGCACGCAATACTTATAAACTTGTTGATGATATCAATTATCATCTTCAAGCGCAGCATCGTATAAAAGATTTTATATTAAATGTACTTTTACAGGTATCGGTAGCGTCAGGTGCGGATACGACGGGTGCTAACCCAAGCATCAACGTGCACTTCACGATACCGCAACTCGCCGTGAGTGGTCTGCGAGTAAGTCGCCTCGACATGTACGGCGCCAAGTACAAGCCCTTCAAGGGCGTCAAATACGTCACGAAAGCCGGCAAGTTCCACGTCAGAATGTGATCAGAGGCCAACCCACCGCCATGGATATACTTGGGACTGTGACGTGTATAACAATTGATGTGTGTGATGTGTAACGAATGTCACTATTATTTTAATATTCTATGTTGTATATCTTAACGTGTTATACTCCATATATAGCAGATATTCATATCGTGTATGTTGTAAGTTGTAAATAACATATTTTATTCAATGTTATTAATACAAAACAAACATATATTACAAAAAATAATCAAGCAGCAGAACAATGCATTTTATTGTACATAAATATAAATCACACATTTTATGTTACGAAGTAATGTCCTACCAGTGAGCTTTTTTAAGGTTAATTTTCTGTACCATCTTGATACAAAAATCTTACTCATATTATAATCGTACTAACCTACCTAATATTATAAGAGCTAAAGTTAATGTGTTCTTTCGTTCTCGTTGACTTATCCCACGCTATGAACTATTTGTCTTATTTTTCACGCAGAAACGGCTGGACGACTTTGGGTAAAATGTGGTATCCAGTAAGATTATTATCTGGAATTATAGGCGCTGGGTATTGCTAGTGTGAGAATTTTTTATTCTCAACGACTAACGATCTAACATCTAACGATTAAAATTTGTTCTCTTATTTTATCTGTAAATGGGGAGACAATAGACAAAAAGAGAAGCCGTACACATAACGGCTTATCTTTTTGTCTATTGTCTCCCCATTTTCACCCATAGTTAAGTGTATACTTAACTATGGGTGAAAATGGGACTATGGGTGAAAATGGAACAATTTGCATACACAAGTACAAGACGAGTATTCGTCTTGTACTTGTGTATGCAAATTGTTACGCATTGTTTGATAGGGAAATCTAATGACAACACCTCTTTGTATTTGCTTTGTGGGTACAACTCAGAAATTACCATTTCTTGCTTAGATTTTTACGAAATGCTAAACATATTCAAATTTTATTAATTGTTATTTGCAATAAAAATGTCACATAATTTAAAAATTTCGTGAAAATCAACCTAAGAACAACTTCCTTAATTTTCATATTAGAAGTACTTTATTGGATTAACATTGGATTCGAATTTTGGCCCCGTCTTTTTGTTCAGTTTATGTATGTTTTTCTAGTTGACGATAGATGACAGTCTGTTCACAAAATGATTATCTACTAAAAAATTAAATATATTGTTTTGGCGATTAAAAGTTCTTTAGAACTGAATTGAGAACAAATTTCAGTATTATCTGACTAAAACTAAGCTTTACGTACCTTTGTTTATCTAGTGACGAATAGAAGTAACTTTACTTCAAAAACCACTAAGAGAGTTTTCTGGAACTATTTTAATATATTAAGTATAAAATGACTTACAAATGAAATGCGCTGCCATCCATAGCAACAAAACGTCTATCCGAATTATTTCAACACGATAAAATACAAAATTTCATGCTTTTCTTCTTAATACCACAAAAATATAGAGATTTGCGATTTTGCGACACAAGCGCACAGTACGTACGATGAGTGGACTAATTTTAAGCCACGCCTACTATGATGCGTCAGGACCTACTTAGAATTACAGTGCACAGTTGCTTATGCACTCTCCTCTTTGTACTTGCTCCGTAGATGAACTACATTTTAACAAGTAGGCTCATTACCTAATTATATTTCATAGGTATACATACAATGTTTTACCTTCCAAGTTTATTCTATTGTTATGACATGTGTAGTTAGTTTTAGCTTTCGGGCCGCGGGAATTATGAAAAATCGGTCGCGCAAAACAAAATGATTATTAGAAATGACTCATAATTATCTGCCTATCGCAGTCCACTGCTGGACATAGGCCTCCTATTGCACGCCACTTCGATCGATTTTCGGAAATGATTAGATAATTTATATTATAAAACTACCATTAGCGTTAAACTTTATTTGTACATAATCTTGTAGGATATTTTATTAATGGCAGTTTCTAAATATAAATTTTGTCCGTATCAGGGTTGCCACAGTTTATATTAGTTTAGAAAAACTTTAAATAATGTTAAGTTTTTTCATGCCTCCTCGCTTTAAGAATATAAAAGTAATGCAAATGGCTAATCAGGAAGCCGAAATACCAATACTCATGTCTTCAAAGTGTATTCCGAGCCATTTATTGATTACTCTATAAACTCAGCGTTTTTCCGTATGTTAGATTGTCTTTCCACTGACAGCTTTATGGTCTCAATGTTTCTTCGTATAGTTTCCAGTTCATCCTCAACCGTACTGACGTACATCCTTGATGACTCCTTGTCTCTGAAGTATCGTTGTATGAGGACTGACATCAATGCCGGGAACTCTCTTTGGACGTTAGGCTCCAGATCGCGTTCCTAAATTAAAAATAATTGCATTTTTCGATATTTTTACTATTACCTATATAGCTTATTGCTAATAAGAGTAAAAGTTTAAAGTACAACCGTAATGTGAAAGTTTCAGAAGTTGCTCCGTAACCAACACTTTTACTAAAGTGATTAGACAAAACACTTAGAAACATTTGTACATTGTTACATTGTTGGTACAGATTCACTGAAATAATACTAGACTCAGTTGTTTAAAGGACCAAGGATACAAATTCAAAGGAATACTCCATATCAATAAAGGATCTGTCACTCACTCGTTGGTGCGCTCCTTCTCTTTATCTTTTTTAAAATAAAATAAAGTAGGTAAGTATGTACTAAAATTTATTGTGACTATCTCTGTAACATTGGAATAATTTTGGTAACTCGAGATTGCTACTATAATTGATTTGAATTTAAGATCGAAAAATAAAGTCAATATAAGCTCGTATTGGTTCCTCGTTATATTTTAAAGTCATATGAATACGGTATCTCGTAGCGGGCTTTTTCTTTTTTGGTCATAAACATTATTTCGAAATAAAAAACCAATAGGTAACAAAACGAAAACCTTAGTTGTCGTGGTATTGAAATTGGTGTTTTTATTAATAACAAACTACAAACAATGATCCATTCTGTTATACTAACAGCCCTAATAGGCCACCGGCGGTTCATGAATGTTATTGCTAATTTATACTGTAACGGGGTGAACAGATTTATTACTCATTGTTACCATTAGGAATGAGGCAAATACGATCGTTAAGTATTTTTATTGACATGCGATGAAAAATGTAATGTGATACGTACAATGTAGCAGCAGTAAGGAAGGGACCACTTCGCGTGAACACCGTATGGTGATCTAATTTTAATCCATATCCATTCTATGACGCTACCCATTCCAGAAGCAGTTGGAATCAAGTTGAAAGGTGAGGGCAGAGTCGTTTGCAGCATGTAGTCAATGTAAACCTATAAATACTTAGATGGGTTATTTATAAAATAATAGTCTACGCAGTTTCACCTGTGCTTATGATCACTGCTTATCTCCTATGAATCGTGGTGAGATGTTTTAAAATCTTATTTAATGAATACCTACTCTATATATAGGTATAGTACAAAAATAATTATTCTTATCTGACTGACAGCTCCAAATAATGTATGTAAACATTCTACGACATTGGTACAAAAATATTCTTAAACTGCCAAGATATTGAAATAAGAAATCATCGTCAAAGTTCTTATTTACTACTCTAAATTAAAGAAAGATAAGTATGGCGTCGAGTGCACGTTAACAAAGACTGATGGATTTTAATCTCGAAAGAGAACTAAAATATGGAATTTTTATTTACCTACTTTTATGGTTGTCCATTACTTTCGACTATTTTAATTTGCTTGTGACATTATTTCTATACATCTTTACTTCTACACATCTTCAGCGGGTGTTCATATCGTAGCAATACTCATTTGCCTGCCTATCTACTGTACTATACTTGCACTTTGGTCCCAATGGATAAACAGGAGATCATCTAATCTGTGATTATGTTATAGTGACTTATGCTGTGAGGGGAAACGTACACCCAAAACTAACAAATAAGTGAAAATTTAACCAATAAATACGAATTTGATTGGGCCTAGGGGTTGCAAGTAATGCATAAGGTAAGAGTCGGAACGGTTTCACAGCGGGCGGACAGGGTCGTCGTCACTTACTGTGTAAGTTTGACTCGAAGTTACGTGTTCTTGCAGTCTAGTAAATTATAAATTGTCAAATGATATCAAGTGATCGTCGTGGAGAGCAAACAAATGTTAAGTAGGTTGGTCATCTTACCAGTTGTCTGCAACAATGTGACTGTCCCTTTGAGTACAGTGGTAAAGAACCTGGGGTTATATATCGACTCGACACTTGACTGGCTGGCACAAGTTACACACCAAAAAGACATCACATGTCTCCACGCTTTATATAGTTTGAAGAACTTCCTTCCCGCTAAAACTGAGCCTTCGCTTATGCAGTCCTTAATTATTCCCTTAATCGACTACGGTGATGTGTGTTATTTTGACCTGAATGGAGACCTTCTCAATAAACTAGATTGCCTTCTCAATAACTGCAACTTCGATTCGTTTTCAATCTTCGCAAGTATGACCACGTGTCTGCTTTAAGTTTCCAGCTGCAATGGCTGCCAATTCGTCAGCGCCGCATTTTGCGAACACTGACTTCTCGCTTTTCTTTCCTCAACTCTCTGTCGTTACCTGAATACCTTGTACCCCATTTCCGTTTCTTATGCTCCAATCACGAATGAAATCATCGGTCAACAAACAATATGCTTTTTTCATGCCTCCCTCACACCACGCAGAAGGAGGAGTTGAAGTTGGACTTCAAGTCCTCCTTCTGCGTCCAGTCAGTTCTTTGGAATACGCTCCCTGCCGAAATCATTATGTCCACAAACCGCTTTGCATTCAGGACAAAAATGCGCGATCTTCTTCGGAGTGAATTGGCAGAACAGTTACAACTCTAGTACCCGACTGAGTATTTTTATATTATAATAAATTTATGTATGTTTATGAATGTATGTGTGTTTATAATTTATTTATCTCATAGTATCTATGGGCTAATAACCAAGAATATACGCTATGATATGACTGTAAATTTCGTTATTGGTCGTATAATTTTTAGAATTTCTGCTTAATTCGAAATTCGACGTTGACAGTTGATCTGTTTTTTTTCATTATTAAAGCGCTTTAACTTCATTTGTAATTAACTAAATCTTGGAAATATAGTTTTACCTACTTACAGTTGTGATATCGAAATGAAAGTAACTATAACTAGAACTTGACAACTTGGAGCAGATCTGACGATGGAGTCAGGAGATAGATAGTGGAACCCTTCAGTAGTTTCTAGTAAATCACTAGAGTTTAGGCTTAGGTTTATGATTTATTTTGACTTCGGTTTCACTGAAGAATGATCTGATGATTAAGCTAGGAAATGGATGGAGGATCTTTTTAGTTAGATTTAGACTATTCTCAGACACAACAGAGAGAATACATAATTTTTAGTTAAATTCTGTCATATAGATACTTGTTACGATAAAGTATGTTTTAACTGGAATATAATTATGTACTCGTAGTAGCTGTAAATGAATTTACATATTGCTATTTAAAGCTAGTCTGACTTCGTACGAACTCAAACGCGAAGTAGATAAGAAAACACCAAAATCTTTTAAGTTGGACGTAAAATGAGATGTTTGTTGATTTTGACAGGTTGACTTTCGATGTAAAATTAAAAAATACAAGTGTGGATTTGCATACCTATTGTAAAATATTATATATATTACTAGCGACCCGCCCCGGCTTCGCACGGATGCAATGTAGATACTACTAATGTGGTGTCAGTGTGGAGTAATTAATTACACTATTATTTTAATAAGACTATTCTACAGGAGATCTTTACATGCAATATATATTGCATAAATATATTGAGTCCTTACCCAAGAAATTGGCGTTTTGTACGGGTGGAATATAAAGTCAATTTTTTTTTGTAAAATATTTTAATTAATCATAGTATGCACCGTTGTTATCTATGCACTTTTGCCATCTCATAGGTATTTCATTGATCCCTTTACTAAAAAAACCATGGGGGCGAGAATCAATAAACTCTTTGAAGGCGGTTTGGCCTGCGCATCGGAGTTGAATTTTTTTCCTTCTAAGAAGTTGTCCAAATCCGGAAAAAATGGTAATCTGTTGGAGCAAGGTCTGGGGAGTACGGTGGATGTCGCAGACATTCCAATTTTAGTTCATCTAACTTAGTGGTTGTTTGTTGTGCAGTGTGTGGTCTTGCGTTGTCGAAGCAGCAGTGGCCTAGAGCGATTGACCAATCTCGGTTGTTTAGCAGCTAGTTCTTCCTACATGGTTTGCAGTTGCTGACAATATCTGCTAAGATATCTGCCGTAATCGTTTGGCTAGATTTTAGAAAGCTTAACAAGTAACTTTTTCTAAGTCAATTTTCGGTTAGGGCAGGATTTGGAAGGGTCTCCAGGGTTCAGCCATTGCGACGAGCGCTTCCGATTATCGTACAGTATCCACTTTCATCACAAGTAATGATTCGATTTAAAATCCCTTCATTATTGTGTCGGTTGAGCAAAGTAACACAGCAGTCGACGCGTGTTTGCAAGTTCGATTCACTTAATTCATGAGGTACCCATCGTTCAAGTTTTTTTAAGTTCCCGATTTGCTTCAAGTGGATTTATTAATCCATGACTGGTCTTATTGGATTCAGTTTTATCACTTAACTTATCACCCCGAAGCCTGCAGTGCCTGAAGTGCTTGGTGATGGATCCGCTTCCACAATAGCCTTTAATTCTTCATTTTCCACTTTGGTCTCCGGCCGTCCACGGGGTTGGTTCTGAAGGTCGAAATTTCCAGAACAAAAACGTTGAAACTAAAAACGTACCGCCGCACACATCATTAATCCTTCGAGCTGTTTCTGCAGCACTGGTGCCACGGTAGAACTCTTACTCGTAAATATACCGATATTTCATGTTTTCCATTGTGCGGTAATAAGCGACGCCAAAGAAAAAAAAAAGAGGAAAAATCAAATGAATGACTGTTTTCAAAACTCAAACGTAAATGAATTATAAATTTGAATTTGGAATTCTTAACCAAAGAGGACATGTTTCAGATCAAAGTGGTCAGTACGACAAAACGCTAATTTCATATGTAAGGACCTAATTTTATATATATTGCTGCTATATCGCCACCCGGGATGAACGTGACCGACGCGGCGACGGCCGCTTTGCCCCCGCATTTTGAACCTCTGATATCTACTAAGATATTCCTTTTAATAATATGCTGCAAAAGGCAATTTTGATCTACATTTATAACGTATTTATTTGGATAAGAAATAATACTGTATTGTTGGAAAGATGCGCACGAAAACATGTTGTTTACAACTTCACATTACCAATCTTTGAAATTCTCGGATTGCCTCAACTACCTATAATATTCATGTATTATACATATAAAACTTCTTCAATCACTCTCTCTCTATTGGTGGAAACCGCATTAAAACCCGTTCCGTAGTTTTAAAGATCTAAGAGTACCTACAAGAATAAAAACTGACTTAATTTTATATGTAAATATTTTACAGCTTTGGTGTATGTAGTATTGCATTTCTTATCCAATAAAAACTACTAATAAAAATTCTTGTATAGCATCAAACCAGCTTAATTAACTAAGTTTTATTTCCTAGCTGCAAGACGGTTTAATGACCTGAATTGATTTTTATTCTAAAGATTTAAGTAATTATATTAGGACTATAATTATTTTATAGAAATCTATAAACATTTATATTAAAACAGCATGATTAGAGAATTAGATATGAAGCAGAAAGCAGTGAGCTTTTAAATAAAATAAAGCTGGCAAAACATAACCTTTGCTAGTCACAAGTGGCGCCTATTATGTTATATAATCGGGTTACTACCCAATTAATATTTTTATTACTTAAATACTTTTTCAAACATTACTGATAGCCATTATAAAACAATCTTATAACTGTTTTGATTCTAGGAGTCTAGTGTAAGTTTATTTAACATTAACTTGATCGTCGACGACGACAGCGCTCGGCGTTGGCCCTGGAACTCTTTACCAATCGCAACGACAAACGCGGTCGCCGTCGACGATCAAGTTAATGTTAAATAAACTCGCACTGGACCTCTTGATAACATAATTATTGGTTAGGACAGTATTTGCACCTAATTGCTATACCTACCGATAGGTAACAAGACCAGGCTGACATGTACAACATTAGTTTAATTGATAAATTGAACTATCGGTAAGGAGTAGGAATTGGACACAATGGCAAGATAAAAAAGATCAATTTCAGATCAAGATTAATCAGACTAGATTTGTTTTTTTATTTATGATAACTTCACACATCTTACATACCTACGGCAGTCTGATCCCAAACTAGGCAGAGCCTGTGTTATTTTAACTAGACTGCTGATAAACATACTTACTTATTTTTAAATACATACATATTATAGAAAATAGTTTACACCCAGACACAGAACAAATGACCGTGCTCATCACACAATATTTGTTCTGGGTGGGAATCGAACCCACGACCTCTGGTTTAGCAGTCAGGGTTACTAACAAGCCCGTCAAGACTTTTTTATAAGATAATAGCAGTTTATTAAACGCGGAACCGTATAGTATGTATTTAAAAAGTAAGGCAGTGAATCTAAAGATAACTTACTTCAGTTTTTCCGAAAGTCCATTCGATATCTACGTTATCAGTGACCCTTTGAAAAGTGTTTGACATTGTCGCTATGAGCATGTTTAACACAATAATTACCGATATGACTTCAAAGCCTGAAAAATAACAAATGGTGCTATATTAAAACAGTAGGAAGATTAAAGAACCGAAATTAAAATAGTAATCTTGCAGTCTCTTGAAATAGTAGCAAGTGTCGAATATAGTATAGGTGTGCGCACAAAAAAGAAATTTGAATCCCGATGTAGAATTGTATCGATCGTAGAAATTATCTACGATAAAATTAGAATTTGCGTAACTTACATCCAAAACAGAAATATCCAATCCGTTCCGTATAAGCATGTCTATTTTCGTGATATTTTTCTGAATTTTTCGGAACTCTGGTGTTCTCTAATACTACATCAGCACTTTCCAAAGGCGCCATACAGAAAAGAGACCAGAATAGAGTGTTTAAAGTGTCTGATAAACTTGTAAATGAAGACACCTGGATAGAAGCAAGAACATCATTGTTTATACAATACTTAAGTTTGAAAGTGTAATGGTATTAAATATAAAGTTCAAAAACAAATCCACACTGTGAATCATGGGACTGCTGTAAATGTTTGGCATAGGCAGATCATCCGGTTTTTGTTCAAGAACTAATGTAAAGTAACCGTAAATGTTTCTTTGTTAGTAGCAATGATCCGTGAAATAGGCTGCAGACAATGTGAACTAATGATTAAATGCGAAAGCTCTTGTTGCGACGAGTAACTACTGGCTTTACGGCTGTGATGACACATATTTCACGCCTACGATAAATTGAAGAAAGGGGCTCTGTACTTAATGTATTCCTGTGTAAATCAACAAAGCAGTAAGAGTGAAAACCTCATAACAATAAATAGAATTGAACAACACTGCCTTGATATTCTAATCCCTAAGTTTAAGGTAAAAAGTATAATAAAATATACATATATAGTAAAAGTATAATAAAAGTAAATAAGAAACATTAGTGTGCGAGTAAAATCTGCAGAACTTAAATGTTTTTTTTATGGACCGCAATCCAAAATGATTAGTAGAAAAAAAGTATTTTAGAATTAAATAAAATGTTTGTTTTAGGAGGCTATAATATAATAACTTTAAGCTATGATTAATAAGAACAAATCAGTAAGCACATAACAATTCACAACATGTCAAATTCTTCGGCAGATAATTCTATTTTTTTTAGTAAAACGAGCTGAATTTCGAAAAGAGTTATAAAAACTGAAGAATAGGTACGTGGGTTAACTTATATATACAGACACAATGATAGGCAAAATTTGGATGACATTAGTAACTTTGAAGGATCTCCCTAACTAAAAAGCTACTGCAGCTATAAATTTTATTAGCTATTTACTAACTCTGTAAAGCTTCTGTTGTAGAATGACTTGTATAAAACATTGTAGTTATAACAACCGTTACTGTAGTTGTAACAACTCGGGGTCAAAGTTTTATTAAGAAGACAATGTTTTTAGTTTAAAATTTTGGAGTAAAGTTGTATGTCATTTTGAAGTTGGTATGTTCTCAAATTGTTAGACATTATGATAGGGCCAGCAGCGGCCAGCATTATGGTAGGGCAGAAAATTGAGAATGATTTTCGACTCAGAATGATGGTCTGAATACACTATTTCAGTATTCGTTACGATGTCCCTTACACGCTGTATATATTGATGTGAAACATCTAATGCGTTTAATATAAATAAATGCATGCATCCACGGCATGAGTCACCACGATATGTGATAGTATAATGTGACATCTAATGCGGTGTAGCGACGCGACGCGGTGTGGTGTCACACCATTTATTTTTTCCTTTCATAAGCTCCTCTTTTATACTCATTATTTCTACAAAATAATTTCGATGTTTCACATCTGTCAGACGTCCCGCCACTGCTCAAGTTGTATTATACCTAGTTAAGACAAGCCTAAGTGGATGTGTAGAGTAAGAAGCTGCAAGCCGTCTTTCTGAAAGCAATTTTGGGTCTGAACAATTCACATCTACCAGTGCATAACAGCTATCGAATCTATACAGTTATTAATTCAAATAGCTTTGGATGTTTACCTGGACTGTTTTCATTCCGAATTCGTCTTCGTACACCATGCCTTCATAGTATTGGTAAAAACGAGCGAGTCCCGCAGCAAAGGCGCTTATAATAATTGCAAATACTATTATGTATTTGTAAATATCGATAGTCATTTTTCCTAAGGATACCTGCGGAATATTTGAGTAGGTCACTAGTAAAAGTAAGTGTGTGTCGGTTTCTTTAACATAATACCATTATTACGAGTATTAACGTAGTCGGGCACTCAGATACTAAAGTATCAAAAGCCTATTTTTATGTTTACAGTCAGCATGGAAAAGGGTTGATGTAAACAAAAAAACACGTCTATTTTTATTGTCACCTGCAGGAATTCTTTTAGTCGGCATGTTAATGTGAATAAAGTTACATAATTTTGGGAATAGAAATATTTCAGTGCTACAATAGGACCTTTATGTTTTTACTGTTTAAATATGAATATGCAGTATCTCCGATGTAAAATCTATATTTTAATGTAGAATAATACGTTTTTGTATAATACTTATTTTCGCTGTTAATTGAAGAACTCATTAGTTTAAATGTTTGCATAAAGCGGACTCATGGAACAGTAAACCCAAAGAAGGAGATCTAATTTAAATAAAGGTACCTAGATATGTTGCTAGATATATTTTCTAACGAGGACATTCTAGTATAGAAACAAAGCGTCATTTAAATATAAAATCAACATACTTGCAATGGCCCTAAATGGTAGTTTAATTGGCATAGGAACATAAGTCGGAAGAAAGCGAATATAGTCGCCAAGCAGAACGTGCCCTCAGCCACCAAGGTTGGATCGTACTGGTTCCAATATTTGCGTTCTGTGTAATATCAAAGGTTACGTTAGTTACATTACTTCCTTACTTACATTGGTTACATTGGTACTTACATTGGTTTCAAAGCATTCGTAACTTGGTTAGTAAGATATCGAAGTGTTCATACTATTCATACATAGAAGCGAATCAACAATGTTTACCTCACCTACTTAATTCTGCAAAACTTAACTTAAAGCAGTACAGGCCTTATTAAATAATAATATACCAGTTCTGAAAACTATCCTAAAGTTACTAGCGTGAGGGATAACGTTGGTTGTGTCAACTTAGTGACTTACACCTCTAACATAATTGAAAGGGGTGTGTTTGTAATATTTTTTGTCCAGTGATAAATTTATACTAATATTGTAAAGCTGAAGAGTTTATTTGTCTGGTTCTCAGGAATTGCTGGTTTAAATTGAAAAATTGTTTCAGTGTTGAATAGCCCATTTATCGAGAAAGGCTATAGACTATATAATCACACTAGCACCACTACGAGCCGAGCATCAATGAAAAATGTTGCAAAAACGGGGAAAAGTTATTCCTTTTGAGAGTCGCAGACAAAGTGCGCGGGTCAGTAATTTACATCACACCGATTTCTGTATTTAAACTGTAATCGGTGCATCACGAACTGGTATTGACAAAAATCTCACCAGTATACAAGGGTTCTTCTGTATTTACTGCTATGTCAACAGCAGAGGAAGCCCAAAATATAAATGTGAGTCCGAACAATGACAGCATTATAATCTCGGCCCAATTCCACATTTTTGTGAAGTATCGATATGGGCCTTGCATCAAACACATGCGGATAGCAGACCACGTGTAGCCACAAACGTACAATATAAGAGGGCCTTCGGCACCTACAAAATAGAATAAACTTTATAAAGGTTTTGATTTTGGATGGAGTATGGCCACTGATAAAGAAATACGTTATACGCTTGTTTCAAATGAATTCTACTGAGATTAAATTTATTAGGGTCCAAATACATAATGTTATTAAATATACATACATAATGTGTTAATAATAATATACCAAAAAAATCCAAAGAGAGAGTTTAGGGAGCAATTTAGGAGAGCTTATACGATTGACGGCCTTATTGCACTGTGGCAATCCCTTACAGGCAAACATAGAGATTGAGGAACTTATATGGAGAGAACACATGAAATCGATTAATGGGCAGTTAAGTTATGGTGTACGCTCAGTAGAGAATATAAAATGAAGCATTGTACATACACCTATAAATATTATACATTTAGAATGAACATATTTATAAAAACACATATTATTTATAAACATTTAAAATTATATTGACTCAACTACGTATTAGGGCAATTTTAACATTCACGAATGGGTGTTAAATTTTAACAGTCCATATAAACTGCGGTCGGAATAATTTTAGGGTTTAAATATTAAAACCTTTTAATTAATTCTAAGGGGTTTCTTCATAGTACGAGGTGCGATGAAAATGTAAAAGGAGGCTGGTATACAGAATAATATTTTTTTCTGTAGTTTGTAATTATGCTCCATGCATGACTTTAGGCTAATTTATGTTAGGACAGTCAAAAAGATTACGCAGTAGGTACATTATACTGCTAGGTTTTTAAATTTCGAACAAAATAATCTAATCTAGTGCCTAAAAAAATTAAAAGTAAACCTGTGTTTGGTGGTCCTCTTTTTTGTCCTGATTTATCTTGATTGGAAATAAAGAAGACCAGAGCGAGGAATACGAAGTATGCCGCTACATGAGTAATCAATTTGTTCAACGGTATTTGCCAGTGTGTTACGAGGCGATGACGAGGCGCTATCTGTGAACAGCTTATATAGATATAAACTCTCCTTACCCACTTTTAAGTAAAATTAAGATGATAACCTCACCATGCATACAAAGAGAATAATTGGCACAATGAACACTCGCTTTAGTACAATGCAGGCTTTTGTCAGTATCGACTTGCTTCTCCAATTGTGCCAGTCGCCGAGCCAGTACGACTCGAGTACCTAAAGGTTTTTAAATTTATAATTAAGTTAGAAGGTATTTATGCTATTTGTAATTTTAATTTAGTCATATAAATATCTTTACCTGCTGAGTGTTGGGATGAGCAACAAATTCTTTTTGTTTGCAATCCACAGCCATGAGGAGTCTTGGCAGCACGAAGTGGCGGCGTCCTTCACAGCCCGCTGTCTGTTTTAAAATAAATTCCACTTCTTCTGAAGTACGGCAGCAACCTGTAATTGAAGATTGTTTGATGTCTCGTTACGTAATTTTGAGTTGCCGGAATTCAAATATCTTAAGCAATGTGAGTATGATTTCACCTAAGAGGTCAACAGCAAATGCGCTGACGTCGTCTGCTAATTGCAAGTACGCTGCAGCTAATTGTCTATAAGTTGCGGCGTTGGCTGCCAGTTCTTCATTTAACCGGAACGCACTCAAGATAGGGTCCGATGAAACGTGAATCAGATACGCAGGGGAGGCAATGGCTCGGTACACCGACAAGCGGGAACTACTTATATACAAGGCATCGTCGTTTAACAAGGAATTTCTAAAAATAGAATAACGTTGCGTCAGTCTAACGGTGTCGAAACTGTAAATCAAGCATTAGAAAATAAGACAAGGGAAGTCTCTAATACATTGAAATATATCAAGTGTTGTTCGGAATTACAATTTATTAGGTAAATGATTTATAAAGAACAAATAACCTTTATTTCTGCTGATAACATTCTACGAGTGAAATTATAAAAAAAATGTTAAAACAACTTTTTTGTACTAAATCTAAATACAACTTTCGAATCGTCGACATACTATTTTATTATTAGCAAATCTTTATAGAATACAATAACTGATAGATTAATTCACCTTGATTCATGAACAACAGGCATTTCCATTCCATCGGAAATAAAATATGATCAACGAACGTTAACATCAATAGATATTATTAAAAATCATAAATACATAGTAATATATTATTGGCAATATTATTTTCGCGAAAGTTCTAGATATACTAGTTCTAGTTCTAGATATACTAAAAGTAACCCGCACCATCTCACCTACAAATAGTACAAGGACAGTTAGGTATATGAGGTCGGGCAATGGTATGCCCACGACCGATTAAAAGCATCACGATCTCATAGTGTCCCATATGAGCAGCAAGAATAAGTGGTGTCACATGTGAAGGGAAATCAGCCGAATGTGTGGCCCCCGCGAATTCTAATCCAGGTGAGATCTTCTGCTGGGCATCTAATAACATCACTGTAAATGCAACACACCTACAAGTCACTTAAATTGTCATATAAGGTATGTAAAGTGAAAGCAAACTTGAGAACAATTTTACCCAAAATTTTAATACTGTTATCTCGTACGGCATGCAACACACTGTCACCAATTTCCAGATTCGGATACTTTAAAAGAAATTCTACCATTGCCTCTGATCTGTTCTGAACAGCTATGTGAATTGCCGATATACCCTATAAGGTTAGAAGTCATCGCTGTATATTTCATATAGATATAAACAAAAAAAAAAAAGAAAACTTGGGTATTTGACCTGGAAATTAACGCAGTTTATATTTAATGCCAGATGATCTTCTAGATATTGTTGAACCGCACTGACGTCATCCTCAGACACAAGTTGAAAAAACTCTTCCTCACTGGCTTGCAACTTAGGTAAATGAATGCATTCTTTTGCTATAAAATCATTACTTTCCTTCCTTTCGTTGGGCTTAAAATAAAACAGAAAGTTGTATCCTTTGTGTTATCCTTTTATAACTTTTTAATAATAATACCTATTTACTCGTATTACGGAAACAATTACCGATTCCAATTTGTCGTATGATCCGCAATGATGTCTTGAAAGTCTGATTTTGTTTATTGTAAGAGGTTTGCTTCTTTTAATATAAGGTGAACTAGATTGATTAAGAACATTGTAGCTGACACTTCTTGAACTTTGAATATAACCTTGATGAAACATTTTTGGCGCAGAGAAAGCCTTTCTTTGAGTATAACAAGGGTTCAGTTCCTGACTGAAACTTTGAGGACGGTTTCTAGAAAGAAATGGTATTTGTTCCTGGTTGGGTTCTATAGCATCGTTCTTTATATTTCGATTTCGTGTCATTGGCACTTCGGTTACTTTATCTTCATAAACTGGGATACTTGGTAATGTCTGGTTCTCAATTGATTCCGAGGGAATTGTTGAAGGTGAGGTGACACCATAGTTTTCAACGCGAGACATTCTGAAGGGATTCATGTGTCTATTTTGAGCTTTTTAGGCAAAACACGAGATTAAAACTAGAAGTAATCTATTATAATATAAGGTATCTGTGTGTTTCAGTAAAAGCCCGCGACGTAATTTATGTAAGTATCGAATAAAAGTGCTTAAGTATTTATTACTACGTATTTTAATATTAAATTGCGTTTACAATAATTATTTTATCATTAATAGATAAAACATAGCTATATTAAGAGTATACTTTGCAGTATCAATGTTTACATTTCTAAAATCGTTTGACAGCAATTGCCATTCCGCTACTTATTTTTCTACATTAGATAATGATATTTGTAAAGAGGTGATGAATATTCCTAGATCTTTTTTAGATTAATTAATAGTTGGGATTGTTTTTGGTCTCATCCCAGTAGTTCCATTCTCTAGTTGCATTATGGTACTACTGGTTTTTTTTCTCCCAGTAGTTCCATGGAACTGGAGTGCTGTTTATGCAGGACAACATTAGTCCCATTAGTTCCAGTACAGTCACAATGAAATAAACATGTGTAACTTTTATTTGCCCATTTATTAGTAGGTTTTAAGGTTACATATATTTTTCATTTTCTACCTCTATATATGAGAAACGCAGAGGATTCTCCTCTAAGAAATATGGCACTGACAACTTCTCCAGTGACAAGTTTCATTTGCAAGTTGAGTACAAGGATGTCCTTCACAACAAAATTAGAGTCTCTTTTCATGTCGGGAGTTATTTTTTGTTGTATTTTCTTTAAATATACTGTATAATACATAACGTCGTTTGATAAAATCTGCAATAGTTTGTATAAAGCTATTACAGTCATTTTAAATGATTAATTTAGTCTGCCGTGCTATGCCCCTTACAAAATTGGTTGTTCGATATCTTTCGCAGAGTTTAATAAATTCAGTGTTACGCAACCAGAGCCCCTCCATGTACCTATAATTTGAACCTATTTAATTTCAGTTTCTCAGACTCAGCTATGAACTGTTCATACAATAATCAATACTTTTTTTGAAAAAGTATTCCAGTTTCATGTTACTATTCCAAGAAAAAAACCCATTAGTATCATAATGGAACTAGAGAATAGAACAATCAACACGCATCAGACGTTATTTTTCTACAACTCCTACTTTGAATATTTTAAGGCTTTAATTTTCACTATACATTGTGTACAGCAATGCGAAGTACGAATAGGATCTCGTCAGTATCTGAAAGGAGAAAAAACTTTCTGTAGTCCTGTTATATCTATATCTTTATTCTTAATAAATAAACTGTAAATCCTTAATGAAATAAGTGACGACCACATTTATGTTCATTTGGTGAAGCTTACAGGAATAAAATACTTACAGCCGAATAAGTGACAAGTGTGATATTCGTGAAACCCATTGCCGTAAACGCTATAGGCTTTTGTGCTCTGAAAGCAGAAATTAACTGTAGATTGCAATACACGTAAACGAATACTTTTTAGGTTGTGTTTAGGATAACTCACCTCTTAATAAGGAAAAGCAGGGCACGTCGGCACCGGGGATTAGTACGGTACCAGCCACTATTGTACGACGCGGCCGCCACATCTGCATTCTATTCGAAATATATACATAATTTAAACAATCATCGACGCATAAATTTGCTAACTTTACTGTTGACATTATTATTGTTATTTTTATAAAAGCCAACTTCTTTTTAGGTAGAAATCCAATTTTTCGTAGCGAAATCTTTGCTCGGCGCTGTTCTTGATATATCAATGAACTTAATAAGTCAAAGTTTATTTAACTACAAAATTTAAACAAACTTGTTAGTTATGTATTAGTACTCAAAGTACAAGAACTAAAAATATTAATCATCGCCACTTATAATAATTGCAAATAGAATACTTTGATCATAAATAATCTAGTTCAGACTAAGGCACTAGAATAACATCTGACTGTACGATTGCCATTCAGTCGAACACAACAATAACGGTGAATACTGTTGAAATAATTATCATAAGAAATATAGATGGATACCAGGATACCATCATCGATATACTTCGCTATATCTATAACTTAACTTAACTTTTGCTTTAATGATATTATTAAGTGCTCACAATTGTACTGAAAGATTATTTTGACCCCATTACTTCGTCATCAGCCGTTAAATTGTTATATTAGGGGTTAAAGTATGGCAATTGCTGATTTGTACTGAAAAATTAAAACTCGTTTTTTTCTAAGATGTTACACATTTATTTAATCAAAATATTCACCCTCATTTTCTGTACATTGCCATCTAAACGGAAGTTCATTAATGCCTTTACGATAGAACTCTGTGGGTCTAGATTCGACAACCTGTGTAAAATCATTTTGTACTGCTTCCTAGGAAGATTTTTTTTTATCACGTAGAAAAATCTCCAAATCACGACAAAAATTGTAGTCCGTTGAAGCAAGGTCTGACGAGTACGGAGGATGACGTATGGTTTCTAACTGCAGCTTCTGTACAGTTACAACGGTTTCTTGTGCAGTGTGAGGTCTTGCGTAATCATAGAGAAATAATGGTGAAGATCGATTCACGAGTCGGGGATGTTTTACTGTCAGTTTCGAAGTCATTATTCGAAATTCGGCACAGTAAACATCTGCTGTTATTGCCTGTCCAGACCTGAGAAAGTTATAGTGAATAACACCATGAAGAGACCGCCAAACTGTTACCATTACCTTTTTATTGTTGTGGCGTTTGACCTGGGGTCAGCCATTGCATGTTTTCGCTTACGGTTATCGTAAACAATCCATTTTTTGTTACATGTCACAATTTGATCCAATATTCCTTCATTTCCATACCGATTCAAAAAGGCAACACAAGTTTCTTTCTGCAGAACAGTCAAATCATGAGGCACTAATTTTTCATATTTTTTATCGTATTACTTTTGATGCAAATGAGTCAATATTGTAGGTAGGGAAGCGTTAAACCATGCCGCTAATTCCTGGCTAAGTTTGACTCGGATCAGCTTCTACCAACTCCTTCAATTTAGCGTTCGTTGTTCAAGTCGAAGTTTCCATTACGAAAGCGTTTGAACCGGTACGCCGGTGTGCACGGTGCGGTTATTAGCAGACTCCTATCGTAACGCAGCGTTCATATTGCGAGCTGTTTCATCCAGATCCAGATGTGTATCCATCTTTCACGAATAAAAAAACAGTTTAAAGTCGAAAACCAAATGATGCACATTTTTTAATAGAAGAACCTCATAGGTATCATGTGAAAAGTTTCACACGAAAATCTCACACCATGAAGGTTTTATGTCAATTCAAGTATCTATTACTATAAAAAAAAAAATGTATATACAACGGCAATTTCATACTTTAACCCCTAAGTACTAAGTAAACTAATCGTACGCTACATAAACTGACTAACATTCGCATTGATAACATTAATAAGGACTCTGATCTTAAATGAATTTTAATGTGTTATGAAAAGCCATCCAACAAGTCTTTAAATCTGATTATAATTATTATAGCGCTTGTATTAGGATAAACCATGGCTTTAGATCATAAATAGTGTATATAATTTTATGTACTCATACTTGAATCGTGTTGAATTTGAAATAACAATAAGGAGAATAAAATAATAGCAATCCATGATTGAAAAGTTAGGACTAAGTATTTTAGGTGGTCACTAGGTGAGTGTTTTGTGCATTCGATACTCACATAGGATAATTATTTGTCCTATATGCTATATAAATGATTATTCTGACTTTGCATCTCGATTAGAATCTCGCAATTCATACTATTAATTATTCTGTGAATAGGATTCTAGGGTTGGCTTTTGAAAAACTATTGCCTTTTTAAGCAGATAATAAAGGTACACTGATAACTGGCCCCGTGCCATAGTAAACAACAAAACTCAATAAACCTCAGTAGAACGTGAAATAATAAATAAAACATAAATTTAATCTATTCCTTTCTCTTTTGCTTTAATTAAAAGTGTAAAATGAAATGAATATATTTTCTACAAACTGAATACAAAAACTAAACTAACCGCATGAAAAATGTCATCAGCGTACCAACACAGCATTCCGATTTGAATTAGTGCCGAACCCAAAAATAGTTTATTGCTCACAGCCAGTAACGGTTCCAGTAACTGAAAAATAATACAAATGAAATCTGTGAACAGCCAATATGAAATTAGTTTTGTGTTAATCCACACTTTCGTAGAATAAGGAGGAAAATTCAGAGAAATAGTTAAGAGTAGTTAGTTCCAACATAAATCGCAGTATAGCTAATAGAACCAGTACCAAAATACGAATTTATTACGTTCTATACGATTCTTTTACTTAAGGCCCGTGTTTTATTGTGTGCAAGTAAGCCCTATTACCTAGTGAGTAAATAGAGGCGATAGATGTTAAGTCTGTTTTTAAATGTATCGATTTCATAAACCGGTAAAGTAAATTATTACTGTATAAACTATTACTCGGCCTGACCTTAAGAACCTGTCAGTGGTGTCTATAAGACTGCCGCTATCCAAGACTGACTGACTGACTGAGTCTAGTTGTTAGCGATCCTAACTACTAAGCCAGAGGTTGTGTGTTCGAATTCCGCCCAGGAAAAACACGAGAATTGTGTGATGAGCACGATAATTGGTTCTGTATGTATCTGGGCGTTATTTTGCAATAATATGCATGTATTTGGGAATACATAAGTATATTTATTTTGGAAATATATGTGCCTAGTTGACGGCAATAGGTGACGGTTAAATGTTTGCGTTTCAAATATGCCTCAGTCTACCCTTTCGGAAAAATACACGTGTCCTTATCTATGTACTATCCACGAAATCACTCACTAGTAGCTACAGTGGTATTGATTCAGCATAGACTGTAAGTTCAGTTAGTCAAGTGGCTATAATTCAATGAAATGATTAAAAAATCATTTTTTTTAATGAATCAAACCTAATTTTTAAGGTTTGAAATGTGTACATACCACAATAACAAACATTACGCAGCAGATGTTAACAGAGCTCATCATTATGTTCACAAAGTTTGACAAGGAGAAAGCGTTTTCTAAATCGTTGCAGTATCTGAAATATATAAAATTTGAAGAGGTACTTTAAAATCAAAAGTAATCGAGCTTGTGAAGATCACAGATGGTAAACATAAGAACATCGTTTCTATAGCCTTTAATGGGCCACTGCTAGACATAGGCCTCTTCTTAGAAAATAATGTTTTGGGTTACTATACCACGCTGGCCAGATGGGTTGGTATAGGGTTTATGTCAAACGGGGGTTGTCCGGTCAACGGCACTATACGGTGCACCGGTGTGGGCGGCGGCTCTGTCCGCCCAGAATAGGGCACGCCTCTGGCGCCCTCAGAGGGTAATGGCGGTCAGAGCCATACGCGGTTACCGCACCGTTTCGACGGAGGTGGCGTGCGCGTTGGCCGGAACTCCCCCGTGGGATTTGGAAGCGGAAGTGCTCGCCGAAGTTTATCGGCGAGTGGCTGACTCCCGGGCGGAGAGCGGATTTCGCCCGCCGCCCGAAGACGTGCGCGAGTGGCGCGAAGCCGCTCGCCGAGCCACGATGGCTCGTTGGTCGTTCCGGCTGGAGACTCCACGCGCTGGCTTCGCCGCCGTGGAGGTTCTCCAGCCGGTCATCGCCGAGTGGGCAGGGCGGCAGCACGGGACCCTTACCTTCCGGCTGATGCAGGTGCTTTCCGGGCACGGTTGCTTCGGAAAGTACCTGCACTCGGTCGCTAGGAGGGAACTGAGTCCCGCCTGCCACCACTGCGACTGCAGTGAGGACTCGGCCCAGCACACGCTGGCGGTCTGCCCCGCATGGGCGACGCAGCGCCGGGCCCTCACTGCAGTCATCGGAGTGGATCTCTCGCTACCGGCCGTAGTACGCTCCATGGCCGGTAGCGACAGTTGTTTTACCGCGGTCGCAACCTTCTGCGAGGAACTAATCTCGCAGAAGGAGGCGGCGGAGAAGGCCCGGGAGGACGACCTCCACTCGGACCCGATCCGATTTACGACACACAGGGGATAAATAGGGGTGGTGACACTCCGTATCCTTAATCTGTCACAGCACGGATATAAGAACATGGATAGATTATTATATTTTATCTACAGATTCGTATATAAACAGTATATAAGTAGATAAACAGGCGGTATGTAAATATCTATAACGGGCGGTCTTATGACTAATAGCGTTCTTTCTAGACAACCTTTCGATGGCATGGAGGAATCTTATCTCTAATCTTATGTCATCTATATCTATAAAAATTAATAAAATTAAAGTGTCTGTTGGCAATGCCAAAATAATGGATTTTTATCATGCTTACACGGTTATTTGCAAGATACCTATGCTTAAAAACCTGTTTTTTTTTGTCTGTCTGTGTCTGTCTCTTTGTTCCGAGTAATCTTCTAAACGGCTGGACCGATTTTGATAATATTTTGTGTAGCTGTCTATATAAGAAGTAACTTAGGCTATTTTTCCTCTCAAAAAAATCCTTTAAAATTTTGCACGGTCCGAGAATCGAACCCTCTAAGGCAGTGCTTTTCAAATTTTACGCGAACGAAGTCGCGGGTTACTTAATATAAATACTTTATGTATAATTAAAAGAAAAAAATAATTTGAATACAATATGTGTAAATCTCACAGACATGAATATATATTACATATATTACGGCTGATTTTGATAACACAATTAGTTGCAAAGTTGATTGTTTTTAAAGAAACTTAAATCGTTCCTTAATAGGAAAGGTATGTATTCCTTTAAATATTGTATAATAGTAGCTTTGTACCATATTCTTTAATCAATTGTTTAATTTTTAACTTCAAAGATTGATTAACTTACGTCACAAGCCGCTGATGCAGTTTGATGTTCGCCAATATGTCTTCGTAGTGATCTCCGGTGAACCCTTCGGTATTGCCAATAGCTTCAAGTCGTCGTTGAAGCAGTCGTAACAATAGACTTATATGACTAGCCATTGCGGAGAACAAGAGGTCAGTGCCGACCATTATCCAAACACAGGTTTGACCTACAATTGTTAGATAATACATACGTGACATCAGTTTAATTGGCATAGATAAAGGTGACTGCTTTGTGGATATTTAAATACAGAATGCGTATGCAAAATATATGCGATAATATAATATATTTTAATATTCTCTAATGTAAAGGTGGTAACAACTTTCATTTTAACCGACATCAAAACAGGAGATCTTCTGTTCTTTGTTAGAATTATTAGAACATAAAAACATATTAATCTGCATAAGTTCTAAGAAACGTAAATAAGTATTATTTAATCCCTTTGACATATAAAAAAAAAACAATAGTGAATTAATCTTGAGTCTTTTAAAACCCAAAAACAGCAAGCATTAGCTGAAAATAGATAAAATGTTTAAAAATATTAAAAAATATACGGTAGTTGACACATATTAACACGCTTTTATTAGCTTGTGCGTATGTATGTATCTATGTACATATGTAACGGCATCTTCGAAGGTAATTTTGACCCACTTCATAACGTCGAATTAATTTGAAACTTCGCGCACTTACCAAAGATCGACTGACAATACAATAATTTAATAAATTTGGCCGATTATCCTGATTTGGATCTTCAGGATTAACGGCTTTTTCCATACATAAAAATACGGTAGTGTCTTTTGCTGCGTACTAAGAGGCGTGTGCTAAAGCATATGTGACTTACTTGTTACTTTTTTAGTAGAAAATAATTATCATTAATGTCAAAAAAAGCAAAAACTAGCTTTTGCCCAAGGTTCCACCCGCGTAAATGTCGTTTTCGCGGTAAAAAGCAGCTTATGTCTTTCCTCAAGAATCAAAGTATCTCCACACCAAATTTCATCTAAATCAGTTCAGCGGTTATTGATTCCCCATACAAACTTCCACCCACCTTTTCACCCCCTTAAATAATGATTTCTGGAATAAAAAGTACTCTAAATCCTTTCCCGAGACTCTAACTATCTATTTCATCTTAATCGGTTTTAGCGGTTTAAGCGTTAATAGGTAACAGATAAACAGACAGACAGAAAGACAGACAGACACACTTTCACATTTATAATATTAGTATGGCTTATTTTCTACTTTTTGGTTAGGCTAGTTACATATAATTTATTTTTAAAAAGCTTCAGACATCGGTTAGGTAAAACTGATCGATGTCTGATTAAGATAAAAGACTTAACGGATATCAATTTATTTTATTGTAATGTTGTTTTAAAGCAAAATTAAAAATTAAATTCATCATGGTGATAATAATAAATGTGATTTAAAAGTTTAAAGCCTACATATAGTAATTGTATTCATAGTAATTTAATGATACTTCGGCAGATTGTACCGGTCCGATCAACTCAAAATATGTTCTTCGGATAAAGACAGACATTTTCGTCGCTTTTTAATGCCTGTTCTACTTGACGTATTTGTAGGACTGAAAATGACTTCTTAGAGAGAATTACTACTTAAATTGCTGTACAAAGGTCAAAAATTGACATTATAACTGCATAAGATAGTGCCTGAGTCTGACGTGTAGTAAAAGGAAAACGTTAACTTTTGATTGAAAAAGCGTCACAAATTGTAACTAGCCATTATGAAAGCCAAATATTAAAATTGCAAAGATTAGATTTAAATGAAAAAAAAGCGTGGCTTTTTAAAGATTGACATGTATTAATTAATGTTTTTATATCTTGCCGAGAGTTTTTATTTACAATCGAAGCCGATTGCTCTCTATTTTATTATAGGTGAGGCGATAAGATAAATATTTCTTTGAGACTTTCACTATGTCTGTCTATAAAAGTTACTTATTCTTAGAACTTAGAGGTATAATTATTTTTATAGTAAATATCCCGGCGTTTCTCATGTTGTAATTAAATAATATTTTAAAAGTGTTAAAGAAAAAGGTGACGCTTTACGAGCAGATGGTTGTTTTAGTGGTACAATATGTTGTTTTCTTGTACAAGTTAAAGTAGACTTTCATATCAGCAGTTTAATGTATTAATAAATTATTTCAGGTACGTGACTCAACTTGCAATGTACTGATATAGTGCTAAGACGAGTTGCAACGCTCACCAGCGAATATCTCAAATAGATAAACCGCAACATGGGCAACGGGTTGATGTTTATCAAACGGATACCATGATACCCAGACGTATCCAATCTTTGCATTTGTACCCATTAATAATTTGAACAGATACAGACCAATTGGAGTCAAATTGTAGAACCAAACACCAGACAAGTTCATAAAGAAATACCCTGCAAAGAAGAAGTTAATTTAATTTTAATATGAAAAAAGTGAAGAACGTTTTAATATAAATATAATATTTACAGCGATGTGTAATACGCAGCGCGTCGATACTCTTATTCTTAATGGTTTGCGCTTCTTCCTCCAGCGGAGGTACCGGCCATATTCCAGCTAGTTCTTGAAGCAGTTGTTTAAACACATCTTTTTTATACCATAACACGAATACTTTCGCTATACCTGTATAGTGAAACACAAACAATTTACAAATGCTTTTTAAATCGCACATTCAAATTCTAATAAATTTAAACTGTTAAGACCCCACATAAACCTCCTTTCTTAGGAGAGGCTTATGTCCAGCAGTGGACTATTAAAGGCTGTTGATGATGATGATGATGAAGACCCCACATTAAGTTAGTTTTATGCTTCATTAGTGTTTGATTATGTTTAGCTCTCTTTATATTACGCTCCATATACTGAAAACCACATCCCGTGTAACAGTTCTCGAAATGAGTTCTAGCTTACAGACAGACGGATACGTAAATTTTTACTTTTACACAGTTACTTACTTAAAGCACCGTATCCAAAAGTATGGAAAAGTGGAACGACATCCTCTACTCGTGGCGAATTAGACAACGTGAGACCTATGAAGGCGATTTCACTGAATACGTGGTAGCAAATGCTACAGACAGATAATGCAAACATCAGCTTTTGACGCAGATAAGCCGATGCATTTTTAGGATTTTCGAACGAGAGTCCGATGCGTCGCATACAAAATGCGCTCAAGATTAAGGATTCATTAATTTCCCGTTTTGCTTGTTCTATTGTTGATTCAGACATTTTTGCTAATGCCCCTTTGTTCAAGCAAGTCACGGACACTTTGGCCCGTATAAACCCGGCGAGTGTAAGTAGAGTGTGAAGCTGATACTTAATTATTTTAAACGTGTTGATTATAGGGCGTGTACTGTTAGTTTAAAAGTCTCATATTCTATGGACGGTTGATAAAAGTTTTGTGTGTTGATCGACTACGCCCTATCGTTTTCTTCAAACTAGTTTATTATGCATTAGACTTTAAAAACTACGGTACAAGTTCTAGTATTACATAGTTAGTTGGACACAAGTATATGTTGTATTTCCGATAAACACTTCTTTATTATCAAAAATATGTATTAATACAGTAACAAGTGTAAAACACAACATATCAAGATTTTATCGTCAATTGACGAGTAGATTGTTTTAAACATTTTTATTTTACACCTTTATTAATCATAAGTATGTACATTAACCTGTCCTTTGTTTATTAGAAGCATATTTACGTAAGTTATTGATTCTGTGAATAATTTAATTTTGTAAAAACTTAATCTTTACTAAGTTCTTAGGACACCCACAGGAAGAACCTATGGATGTCGTAAGAGCCAACGAAGGGGGCAAACTATGCAGGACAACTGCACTGCAAAGAGAATGAAAACTTGACACAAACCAACGACCACCAAAGGGTCACCTATGGAAGTCGTGGGACTCAATTACGCCACTGTTGCTGGCTCACTCGCCACTGCTTACAGCGCCGGACTAGCTACGCCGCCGCCACTGTTACACCTGCTGCTTGGCCTGCTGCTGCCCCTTCTGCTACCCCTGCCGCAGCTTCCGACACTGGTAAGAAACAGCTGACCTGCCGCAACCCGCCCCTAGTGGTCGAAACACTCCCGGACTGGCCGACGCACTTTCGGGAGCTTAAAAAGCTAATTGGGCACGCACCTAAAGGACGCCCATTTGGGAAGGGAGTCCGACTCATCCCGAAGACGGACCAGGAGTACCGCACCATCCAGAGGTACCTATAGACGCTGGAGACATAGGAGAAGGGACGAATAGAGTAAACTATATGCAGGACAACAGCACCGCAAAGAGAATGAAAACTTGACACCGAATAGTAGGCCAAAACCTCCTTTCTAAGGAGGGTCCTAAGTCTAGCAGTAGACTATTAAAGGCTGTTGATGATGATGATTGATGTGCCTTCTTTTTACTAACGTTAACCTATTTATAATTTCCATTTCAAACATTCGAAATTATTTACTCTGCACCTCGCATTAATAAATATAGAAAGAGATATAAAACTTACAAAAACTTAAAATATTTTTTGAGGCCAATGGTTCTTCAGATTTATTTTGGTTACATTATCAAGTTAGCCAGGATAAAAAGTGAATGATCGCTTAAAAATGCAAATCAATTTTAATGTAGGTTGATGCGTGCAGATGCAAGAACACAGTATCTATCTAATGGTACCGTAATGGGATAAACCTCATAGGTTACATAGCGTGACATAATTGAATCAAAGTGAAGAATCTTTATTGTTCCGGTGTAAATACATCGTTAGCGTCACGCGAACTTAGGTGATTAGAATCGAATATGTTTTTGTTAACGGCAGGATCGGAATGATGAACTCACCACTAACGAATTTTATTACATTTATAAGGAATGTCGATTTTGTTGTGTGCTGTGTTTCGCGAATTCACGTAAACGAATATATGGTGACTGCAGTGGTTTGCCTTAGATTTTCCAGAGTTGATCAATCTCCACATTTGCCTTTTCTAATAATAGAAAATAATAGAAAAAATGTTTTATTACTATAATCATACTGGTAGGCAAACCATAGAGTTAACGGCCATTTTTTAATGTGTATAACAGTGGCATTTCAATCTTTGTAAACATTGAAAACGATTTATGTGAGATACGTACGGGTCATCAATAGACCTTCTATCAAGACATATAAAACGCATCGGTCAATGCGAAAACCGTTTAATGGAAACTGGGAACGGTTCCCTCTTGTATGACTTTCAAAATTCTTTAATAGGTACTATGAACTTGGATATTTATTTTTAATCTAATCAAGTGAAGAAATCAGTGTCAATACTATTTGCAATAACAACTATAATTCTATAAATTACAGAGTTAAGTATTTATCAGAACGCTATTGAACATAACTACTAGTGACTAGATCAGTGGGTTTGATTAAAAAAAGTCAAATATATTTCTTAGATAAAGGTTGGGTTGAAAATATTGTTTATCAAAATATTATCTTTCTTTTACCTGCACTAATAATACAATTTTCTCACGAGAAATTCTTCTAGAATAGTAACATAATATGTAGTTCTGTATAGGTTTAGATCTTATAAGTATTAAATCCGATTTTACTTTAAGTTGACGGTCGTCTACTTAGCAAGCAAACTATTTATAAAAAAATAAGAATTTAAGATATGGATTCTCACAATCTTAAACATGTGTGGCAAGCTTTGCGTCAAGGTAAACTATATTTTAGGTAGCAATAAATATTGTCAGTAATTTAAATAAATCATCATCATCATCATCATCAACAGCCTATACTAGTCCACTGCTGGACATAGGCCTCTCCTTAGAAAGGAGGTTAAATAAATAAAAATAATAAAAAATAATTAAAATAAATAAATAATAATAAATAAAAAATAATAAATAATACTAAAACCTATACGTAATTTCTATTTTCAGCGCTGTACTGTCAGTGATGGTCCCGCAAAGGTTGATGTGACAGCATTGACTAGACACAAAAAACGACACAATCACTGCTAAGCACCTGCAATAGCTGTATTAGGAGACTTCGGCTCCTAAGATGTGGGCAAGCAATTTGTTATTATTATTATTTGATCAGGTTGTCTCACGGCTATTTAATAAAATCCAATAGAAAAATATTGATTTCTCTGAAAGCTTATTATGAAAAATTTTAAAACCATTACATTCGTTGTGTCTATTAGATAATATTGTTACGGCGGAGTATCTCATCGGGTAATCACTTTTATTGCACTGTATTTACAAACACTCACACACACACACACACAATACAAACAAGAAATCACTATATAACTCGTTAGTTCGCTGTGTCGTAAAACAATACTGTCCCGTACTGCCAACAAGCGCCGCTTTTATATGGCTATCGAAATTACTAGACTAATCCTGAAGATCTGATAGAATATTCCAGACAAAATCATGTACAATAAGGCATCTATTTCTATAATATTGCGATATTCGATACTAGATGGCACAGCATATATTGTTGACATAAAGACATCTGGTAAAATTTCAACTATAGGTTACTTATTAATTAAAGATACATAGACCTTCTCACGTGACACCTGATGCCACTGGAGGCACTGCTCTGCTAATGATGGTGATTTACAATATGAATAATAAAATTGCTTCTGGCGGCCAAAATCTGTAAGCTTGATACATTTTTCAACAATAACTTCATACCTAACTCATATTATATTTTAAGGACCGTAGCACCTTGAGAAAGGCTCCTCTATAATTCTAACCTTCCTTACATCTGAACGTAGTAATTTAAAAATCGGAACCTCAAAAGTTAACGTTCCGTGGTCTTTGCTCAATGCCTATTCTAGGCTCACTTAGGACTCTAGGTTCTTTGTTATTATGTTATTAAGGTCAACACGACTTTAAAATATATTTTTGGCTAGATATAACTGCATCTTGTAAGGTTTTAAAAGTCTCGTGTTGAGCGTATTGATTCTGATAATAATCACTTTACCTTACAAGAGAAAGTTTAAATAAATTTAGAAACAAGTCTTACCATAATTACGCTTTGCTTAGGTTAGTGTTTATTAGGTGGTTATAGGTGGTTATAACTATGTTTTTTCGTTTGTTTTTGGAAGGGCATCGACACGAATTTAGGGTGATTTATGATTTTCCCGCTAGAGATCGCGGTGTTTCGGCAAATTTAGCACGCGGGCCGCGGTCCGTGGCGGGCTTTACAGTTCGCCACCGTTACGCGACGATTAGGCGACGCAGGCGCATGGAGCACCGTCTCCACTACCGACATTGCACTTGTCGTCATTCATCGTAACATTAGTAACATACGGCATACTTCGATGTCTTATATCATAAAATATACGTTTTATTTACCATACAGATACTTAAAGGAAATGCTAAGAGGTTTATGCGCACAGTATGCTCGTTAGAGCGCTGTAATGTGTCAAATAAAATTTTGAGTACGGGGACTCTAATTAAAGTCGTACACCAGGCAAAGTACTTCTATCTTATAGCAAACTATGTTTAAACAGTAGTTGTAGAGTAAAGTTTTCGGCGGTTGAGTATGTCGCTAGAATTTACAAACACTTTAAAAAACCGTCCTCTAATCATAAAAGTTAGTACATTTTTATCGACTTTCCTTTCCACGGTTCTTTTTTTAAATAACAAATACTATGTCACTTTCTGTACTCCTGACAATGTATATACATTGAAATTGCAAGATTTCATGGTGGTAGTTTGAGTAGTTAAGAAAACCTCCTTTTTAAGGAGAGGCCTATGTCCAGCAGTGGACTATTAAAGGCTGTTGATGTGATTCCATTATACCAGAACCCAAATACCACAAGAATATGCTGCAACGAATTCAGTGGCATGTTGTGTTTAAATTAAAAAAATATTGTAAATGTATTTTACTACCCTAGGCCAGTATCTATATTATAATAACATTTTATATCTTTTATTGTAATAAAATCAATCATAACTAAAGCGTTAAGTTCAAAAGATTTAGAACGTTGTATGAAGTAAAAGTTGTGCGCATCATAATGTTCGAACGAAAGACCCAGATCTATTGAATTGATGACAAGCAAAAACATCACTGTATTATTCAAACTTGTATATAAGCTGAGAAACCTGACCGAGGAAACTGATGGTTTAACAAAGCTCCGAAAAAAACATCTGAAATTGCAGTATCTGTGTCAATGCAGTTCGATGGTAAGCTTATTGCTTGAGAACGGTGTTACCGGTACTTTGAGTAAGTAGAGTTTCTGGGAAAC